ATGAGCATCACTGGTAGTTAGTGAGATGCCATTTTATCCCAATAATGCAATATAGCTAGATAAGCATCACTGGCAGTTAGTGAGATGCCATTTTGTCCCAATAATGCAATATAGCTAGATGAGCATCACTGGCAGTTAGTGAGATGCCATTTTGCCCCAATAATGCAGTATAGCTAGATGAGCATCACTGGCAGTTAGTGAGATGCCATTCTGTCCCAATAATGCAATATAGCTAAATGAGCATCACTGGCAGTTAGTGAGATGCCATTTTATCCCAATAATGCAATATAGCTAGATGAGCATCACTGGCAGTTAGTGAGATGCCATTTTGCCCCAATAATGCAGTATAGCTAGATGAGCATCACTGGTAGTTAGTGAGATGCCATTTTATCCCAATAATGCAATATAGCTAGATAAGCATCACTGGCAGTTAGTGAGATGCCATTTTGTCCCAATAATGCAGTATAGCTAGATGAGCATCACTGGTAGTTAGTGAGATGCCATTTTGCCCCAATAATGCAGTATAGCTAGATGAGCATCACTGGCAGTTAGTGAGATGCCATTTTGTCCCAATAATGCAATATAGCTAGATGAGCATCACTGGCAGTTAGTGAGATGCCATTTTGTCCCAATAATGCAATATAGCTAGATGAGCATCACTGGCAGTTAGTGAGATGCCATTCTGTCCCAATAATGCAATATAGCTAAATGAGCATCACTGGCAGTTAGTGAGATGCCATTTTATCCCAATAATGCAATATAGCTAAATGAGCATCACTGGTAGTTAGTGAGATGCCATTTTATCCCAATAATGCAATATAGCTAGATCAGCATCACTGGCAGTTAGTGAGATGCCATTCTGTCCCAATAATGCAATATAGCTAAATGAGCATCACTGGCAGTTAGGCCGATGCCATTTTGTCCCAATAATGCAAAGTAGCTAGATGCGCATCAGTGGCATTAACCGAGATTTTATTGCCTCCCAATGTCGCAATTTGGCTAGATGCGCATCACTGATGAAAGTGAGCATCACTGATGCATATCCGCCGATCGACCAACAATTTATGGCGAAACTGGTATAAACTGTTATACTTTATGTTATGCATTTATACCTTTTTTCCGTCGCCAACAACCACTTGATTGCAACAATAATCTATTTACAACAACATCTCAACAACAGCCAATCCAAATTTCCAAACATTTCCATGCAATTTGCCCGTTTCCCAAATTGGGGTAACAGGCGAACAGAAACCAGCAGCAAGCAACTGCAAACTGGTATAAACTGTTATAAAAACTTTTGGCCAAAAATAATAATTGGTATAAACTGCTATATTTCGTTTTATGCATTTATACCTATTTGTTGCCGACAACAACAGCTTGATGGCAACAACAACCTTTTTACAACAACATCCCTACAAGCAGCCCATCCAAATTTCCAAACATTTCCATGCAATTTGCCCGTTTCCCAAATTGGGGTAACAGGCGAACAGAAACCAGCAGCAAGCAACAGAAAACTGGTATAAACTGTTATAAAAAGTCCAAGTTTCGAACCATTTGGGAGCTGGCGCAAGTAAGCGGAGACTCAAACCTTTTGAATCCAATATTAGCTGTTATTTTACAAATGTAGCTGGGCACACTGAAACTGATCGTCGTTAAATTCAAATTCAAATTTGGCAGTTAAAATATTTAAAAAAATGTAAAAAATTCTAAAAAATTTTAAAAATCTTAAAAAAATGTTAAAAATTCAGAAAAAATTTAAAAATTCAAAAAATTATTTTAAAAAATCAGAAAAAAATTCAAAAAAATAATTTAAAAAATTAGAAAAAAATTTAGATTTGTCTTTCAACAGGTTTTCCACAAACAATCCCCAAATAAATACCGCTTAAACCACACAATTTCAGATTGATTTCCATTTTTTTTATGATTCAAATTTGTATGTTACATCAATTACATTTACACATTTAAAATGTATTTATAAATATTCCAATACTTTACGCCTGCTGGGCTTCAACTAGCCCGGACCCAAGATCCGATCACTGCCATCTGCTTATGCTCCGCCATCCCATCTGCTTGCTCCTCCAGCTTCACCTCTGCCGATCCAATGATCATCAATCAACAATTACAATAATGACTAGGATGATCTTGTCCTTCGCGGATCGCTGCGCACGCTCTTGTTTTCGCTCTTTTAGTGCTGTAAGCATAATAAATAAATAAATGTAAAATTAAATTAAACTATTTAACCTTTTTTTGTAATTATAGGTAAGTATTTTATCAAAACTGAATATGCAGTTTGGTCAAGCTTAGAAAAGGCAACTCAGAAAAACTTTCCGAATTGAATTTCATTCATTTTTGGCTGAAATATGAACCTTTGAAAAATAGGTTTTTTTATCCCCAAAAATTATGAAAATAAATCGCACCACTTTTCCAAAAATATAATATTAAAATTGACAAAAATTGAGATTTAGTACGTAGTTTTATAACCTGTATAAAAACTAACTCGGAACAGCTTGAATTTAATGCATTTTTGGCTTACAAACTGTTCCCAGTCAGAATTCAGCGTAAAAGTATGCTTTGTATTTGCACTTCCGCTTGTTGTTAATTTTCAATTGCATACTGGCGAGCTGGGAACGGAATAGCTAATTCCTTTTTCCTGTTTTTCATCAAATTTCCTCGTCCCATCTAGCTGTGAATATTTTCTTCCCAAGAAAAACAATCAATTTTATTACGTATTTTTATTACGGTTTATTTCGAGTGTTTTTTGTTTGTTTTGTTTTCGTTTTGGTTTTTCTTTTGGGGGATGTGGGCGAGTGTTTCATCCGCTGATGAACAAATTACATTTGACATAATACATAATGAGAACGCTTTTGATGTCGTGTCGCCCTGTTTCCCAAAATCTTGTATTTTGTATTTACTTTTCAATTAATTAATTGCACATGAACATGAGTATTGTACATATGTCGGTGTACTCTTATGTATGTGTGTGCCAATCATGTTCGTGTGTTTCTCATTGCGTTTTCTATTATTTTAGCAACTTAAATTCCCTCTGGAGACTACGATGAAGGTACGTTTCCTATAGCAAAGCTATGTATTCATTTCAGATTCATACCGAACGGGAACGTCAACAAACAAGGTTTCATTTGATTCATTATTCATTTTCCTTTACTCATCGTTAAGGCTAATTCAATCTGCTTTCTTCTCGTTTTATTTTTGTTAAATTTAAGGTGTGTGTTTTTGGCGAAAAATCATTACGTAATTATAGGGGCAGTGGATGCTTGTGGGGGGCATTAATACAGTGCTAGCTCAGTGTTTATTGATTATTTTAGATGAATTTAAAACGAGAATCGGAATAAAAAATAGGTAATATTAATGGGTAAAATAATCAATTTTCTGCAAAGAATTTTGCTTTGACTTTTTAATAAACCCAAACTTAATTCTTGTAGAATTTTATATATTCAAGCTTGTGGCACAAAAGAAATTCTTGTTTGACAAAAGATTTCGAATATTTTCTAATATTAAGATGAAATTCAAAGAGTTTTAAAGATTTTTTACTCACGATTAACCTACAGTTACAAATTAATCGAACTAATCGACCGTTAATCGATCATTATCGGCTTTCACTGGGCACTGTATGGGCATAAACCAAGTTAAAAAGAAAAAAGAAAATGCCACTTCTGTATAACTCTTATTGGCGGATGTGGGGGGTGTGTGGGTGTGCGTGTGTATTTTCATCGATATATTCGATAAATCGATTCGACAACAACAACAACAACAAAAAGAAAAGGCACAATTTTGATGAAACGCTTTCCCATGCTTTTGTCAATGCGCGCGTGTCCTCCCAATGGAAATGGAAATCATCTCTTGCCGTGTGTGGAAATTCTAGGGCGAAAAGGTTAGTCAAAGAAAATCCATTTTTTTTCAGCAGTTCCTTGCTCTAATTTGCAATATACATTAATATATATATATTCTTTATCTAGTTGATAATTGCTTGAGTTAGTTAGTTTTTGAGGGATTCACGTTTTGTTTTTCTTTGTTTCTTGTTTTTAGTAAAATCTAAGGCTAGTTGGAAAAGTGATGCGGGGGGCGTGGAGAGGTTAGATCGGCTCTCCTGCTGCTCGTGGGAAGAACCAATTGTTCACTAGGAGAATTCTGCAATGCCAGCCCCAGATTATTTTAAGTATGTTTTTTTTGTTTGGTTTTTGTTTTTTGAGCGAAAAAAAATCACTTGTTACAATTAGTTACCCAAAAAAGACGTGGGGCACACCCTGTTAAGCGGTTATCTATAGTTTCACTTTCTCTTTTTGTTTTCTTCTGTTCTCCCTTCTCCTCTCACTTCTTCTTCTGCCTTTTTTGTTTAGGTTTTTTAGGTTAATGCAATTAATTACGCTAGTTGGATGTATCAAATTGATTAAGAAGAAGCTTGCCATTTGTTTTAATTTGTATTTTGTTTATTACACTTAAGGATGCTAAGTGTTAGCTTTCGCTTCTTCTTCGTCCTTCGGTAGCTTTTTTTTTTTTTTTTTTTGTTTATATATGAAATTATTTGCATATCATTTGTTTAGTTTCTTTACTTTTGTTTTTCTTCATTGTTTCCTTTTTTATTTATTTAATATAACAATGGTGAAAATTATATCATGAACTTGTTACTGCAGCTTTGTTTTTATATATATTTGCATATATTTTTTAAATAATATCAAATTTACTCAAACAAAAAAAAATAAGAAAGAAATAAAGAAAGCTGTTTCAAGTAGGAGGGAGAGAAAGAGAGAGGGCAGTAAATAAAGGTATTATTAATAGTAAGTAGTAAAAAAAAAATAATAGTATTTCTATGCATATTTGTATGAATAATAATATTAACACTCAACTTGAATTTAGCTAAATTTCTTCTCGAACGAATTTCGTACGTGTTTTGCTTTTCGTCTGTGCGTAAATTGGTTTTACTTAGTTTTCAATTGAAATTCATCAGCAAATATTTAGAGTTATCCCCAGCTAGCGTTCTTCACTTTTCTATTTATTTATTTGATTTATTTATTTGCCTTTGCAATTCGATTTGTCGCTTCAATACGGAAAAAAAAACATAGTTTATGTATTGTAAATATGTGTTGGGTGTGTGTTCGTGTTTGTATATAAAATTAGACCGCATCGGTAATCCATGTATGTATGCATGTATGTGTGTGTGTGTTTTGTGTGTATTATCTACATACAATATTTGTTTTTAAATATACAATATTATTACTCATAATATATTAGATTTAAATCAACGCGACACTTTGCTTCTGCCTTCTGCTTCCTTAGTCCTTCCTCAACTCCCCTTCGTCCCCTCAACTGTGGCCATAGTTCACTTGACTTGATAAGGAGTGCGACGATTTCTGGCGGACTATATTCTAAATGGTACAGATACATATATAAGTAGATGTGTAGTGAATGAGTTTGTGTGTGTATGTAGGTGTTTATATGCAACTTTTCCGCTAGTTTCTAGTATTCTTTATACGTACGCAAGTTTGTTATTCATTTCTTAACTTTTTTTGTTTGTTTTTTTTTTTTTTTTTTTTTTGTTGCTTTTAGGCAAAGGCGATTGGGAAAAATTACATACATCTAACAACAAATGCACCAACGTTCATCTTCATCATCGTCATTATTAGCATTAGCATTATTATTATTCAATCAATGTGTATTTATCATTATTTATTATCATTATCGTAATGGTAAATCGTTATCGTCATCATCTGACTTTATATCTGCCGCCGCATCCGTCGGTCATCGTCGTCAATATTATTCGTAGTCAGCTAATAAACATTGTCGTACTTAAACTTACATTATGCAGTGTATGTGTGTGTGTGTTTGTGTGTACATATTTTCCTTTCTTTATATAGATCAATAATATATATCAAAAAACACATTATCGTCAACATAACTAACTCGCTATAACTCTTGGCTCTCGTATGTGTATATAAACATCAACATAAACAAACAACACTAGCGCTTCATCTCTCTATGCCTTTATATAATCGGATCTTACGTCTATATGTAAGTGGTGTGTTGTATATATATTTCGCTTTTACCTTTTGTTTTCTTGTTTATACCCAACTTTGTTCTAACTAAAAACTATACACCTTTGTCCGCCTTATTCAGTTTGAACATCTATGTATATATCCCATCTCTCCTCTCTTTCTCTCTATCGAATTCCCTACGAAATGCCAAGTGCTTCTGCGCTTTCTCTTCCTGAACTCCTCTCAGCTGTTCTCCTCTGGCTTGCTTTCTTCTGATCGTACAGTTACAGTACACCTGTGTGTATGTGTGTGTGTGGGGGGGGGGGTACCATCCAAAACTTTTTGTTGGGCAATTTGCTACATTAAGTTGGCTGCTGCGGCTGCGTTATAAGAAATCGTTTGTCTGCTGTCTGCTGTCCGTGTTTTTACTGACTGTCGCGTCGTTGTTGTTGAAGTTGTAATAGTTGTTGAAGTTGTTGAAGTTGTTGGAGTTGTTAGAGTTGAAATAATTGTTTTAGTCGTTACAGTTATTGTAGTTATTCAAGTTACTGCTGCTGCTGTTGTTGATTTGCTGTTTGTTGTTTCAGTTGCTGTTTCTGTTGTTGTTGTTGTGATGCTTCCTCATCATCAGTGCGGCGTCTTCTGTTGCGTCTGCTGATTTGTTGCTGCCGCTGTTGCTCCTATTGTTGCTGTTGTTGTTCTCGAAACTGGCCGAGATCGAACCCGAGGCGGCAGTGTCCATGTTGTGGTGGCTGTTGGTCATAGAGATTCCTTGGAAGGTACCCAGATGGTTGGTCCCGACTGTGACCAAATCATTGATTTCACTTTGCTATAGATCTCCTCAATGGTATCGCCCTGAACAACGCCTGTAGGGAATCATCAAAAAGATACATATATGTATAAGGTTGATGTCTAAAATTCACAAGACTTACCCGTAAAGTATTCGCCGAATTCCTGTTCCATCTTAATCGCCCGCTCATAAGTCTTCTTGGCCTGCTCCTCTGTCATCCGACGATTCATCTCCCTGCGAATAATCATCATATATTAAATAGGAGAAGGCTTTGGAATTCTTCATGTCATATTAACTCACATCACCGAGTCCACGGACTTGGGCTTGATGAACACAGCCACGGGATAGAGCTGGGCCACTTGGAGCCGCTTGATCGCATTCCCGGAAACGTCCAGGATGCAGTGTTTACCCTTTTCCGCCACCTCGCGCACACTGGCCACAGAGGTGCCGTACAGGTTATCGTTGTACTGGCCCGCCTCGATGAACAGATGATTCTGGATGTCGCGCTCCATTTGCTCGCGCGAGGACACGAAATGATAGTCCCTGCCGTCCACCTCGTATTCGCGCTTGGGTCGGGTGGTGTCTAAGGGTGAAGAGAGCATAATAGTATCTGGAGGGTAAAGCTGAGCATATATATATATTTACGTGGCACACAGGAGCCGAACTTTTCGGGATACTCCGATATTAGGTCATCGTTGATGCGGTCCTTCAGGGGTCCCAGGATTATTACCGGACGCGTGTAGTTGATGGACAAGCGCTGCACGGCCTCGTAGGACAGCACAGTCTCCTCGGAAGCTGGAAAGTAGGGCAAGCAGTTGGATATTAGGACCGTGGCGACGTGCACGAGTGCTCTACTACATCATCGCAGTGTTCTAGAGATGAGTGGATAGCGGGGAGGATGGGATTTCTTGGACTAGATTTACTTTCAAATCGGATCAATATTTCAAAAACTTTGGTTGGGATCAGCATTACATATAACGTGAGATCAGTTAGAGCTAAGGATACAGTTTATGGATCTTCTGGGGGGGGACAAACGGGAGGATATATATAATATAACTCTAAGCTAGGTTTCACAAAAGTTAAACTGTTTTCAGGGTTAAATTAGCAAAATATACAAGAGTCCCAGGCAGGAGATTTAAGATTAAGGATTATAATTTAAGTTTTAATTTAAATTTTAAGATCAGTTCTTATTTTCAATTTTGGACTTCCTACGAGGAGTTCGATTTTCTCAATACATTCAAAATATACAATATAGAAAATGAAACGGCAATTAAAATCGAAATCGTATTCCAAAATGTAAATGCAATATATATGTGGGCATGTGGAGTTATGGTAAGTATTCAAAGCTACACGACACTCTCATGTATGACATACACTCGACATATGGGAGAAATAGGATATAGATGGTGTGAGTGTTTGGAGCAGGCGAACACTACGATTACGATAACGATAACGATTACGATTACGGTTGCATACTACATACATGACATCATGATCTTTTACATACATGGCACACACATAGTTCTGGGACACACAATACCGAAATGAGTGAGGGGGCGTCGTGTGTTACATTTATTTAAGGTGGAATTATATAGAGAGAGCTAGCTCAGATGATATATATATATTATTTTGGGGGTCAGTTTCATTGGTTGTTGTTGTTGTTGTTGAAGGAAATCACAATCGCACTTCTTGTTTTTTATTTTTTTGGGTTTGGATTTACTCACTTGACTTGACTTGAAGAGACTTACTGAGACGATCGACTTTTAACGACTTTTCTACGACCAAATAAAACTCCCTCGATTTGTACAATTCCTTTATTTTTTTGTTTTATAGTTTGTCAGACCGTAAATATTTCACAAATATCTGAGAAACAAGGGTGGGGGGTGGTAAAGGGAAGACCTCTTCTCATATATATTTTTTCTCTTCCGTTCAAGAAACAATTTTTGCGGGTGAGGGGTTAACACATGCAGAATACGAACAGACGAGCAAATATAGTACATTAATGACAACAGCAAGCCAACTCAATTTTGTGATCGGTCCAGTACTCACTGTATATACTATATATAGTGTGTGGGTGTGATTTAACTCGGAGGAAAAGACGGGGCAATCAATTAACTACCAAGTCAAAGGGAGAAAAGCACTCTAAGCTCAACTCAATCGGGCTGGGTTTCCGTTATTTTTTTTTTATTATTTATTTCCTGGGTGATTCTACAATGTGAAAAAAAGGGGGGAGTGGCGGTGGGAGTTACGATACCGAGTGTTTGTGTGAGTGTGTGTGGGATCACAGGACTAATTTGCACTATTATGTGGAGTCATTTGGTTCTACGCAACGGTCAACAATTCACAATTTATAAATAAAGTTTACAACATAATCAAAAAAAGGGGGGGAAATAAGATCAGAAAAAATATATATTTTCCCTATTTGTGGAGGTAAACTCCCAATTACGCGGCCACAACACAGGGAAACAAGAAAAAAAAAAAACAAGAAAGGAAGCTAACTTCGGCACGCAGAAGTTTGTATACCCTTGCAGATCGAATCGGAAATCGATAACTTAGCTTAACTGTGCTAGTTTTTTATCATAAAGATCGTAAGACTCTAAACAATGAATTTTTCCTTTCAAATTTTAATAATTTTAAATATGTAAAACTTTAAAACATGTACAAATTTGGGTTTCTCTAGCAAACATGGCTAGATTAGCGCTGCTGTTGATGCTGGATGATGTAGGATCAAAAATTACTCCTGGAATTATAAGGGTATTATAAGGGCAGGGGTATAAAGATATCCTAACTAGGGATGACAAAAAGCATCGATATATTTATAATCTATCGGCATTTGACTCGAATTTCGATATGTAAATCGATATTGAAATGTTTGGATAAATCTATTTCCTTTTTGATATATCTGACCAATAGAATCATACAAAAACAATATAAATCAACCATATAAATGAATATAAAACAAAGTTCTAAGCAAGAATAGGTTGTTATTATCTCCAGAAGGTCATAAGACCTGATTTAAACCTGGTTCTCTCTGGCTCACCGAACCTGTATTCAAAAATACATCAATATACTGAAATTTACTAAAGGTATTTTTTTTTTCAAGGATATAACTATTATGTATGCCACCTTTTCTTCTCGCGATAGATATAGATGGGAGGAAGAGAGAGAGAGAGAGATATGGGGTGAGACAGCGTGAATGAGAGAAAAAGAAAAAGCAAGAGATAGGCGGAAATCAAATCAATTTAAAGGAACAAACGGAATATACATACAACCAAGTGGAAATGATCTTGCAAAATTTTGTTTCTTTGTATTCATAACTAAATATTTAACTTTCATTCTTGCTGGATTTTTTTTTTTATAGAAGAAAACATAAGCTTTGTTGTAATTTTCACTAGTATTACGAAAAAAGAAGAGACTTGTTGTTGAATTTTTTTTGCTGTTGGTTGTTGTGGTTGCTTTTTGGTTGGTTTTTTTTTTTTGTGATTGTTGGTTGGTTCAGTTGCTCGACTTACGATAGTCAGCGTCATTATTCTCCAAGTAGATCAGAGTTATCTGCTCCATATCGGGTAGCTCCACCCTGTAGATAATCTCGCCTGATCGATTGGTGGATTAGTTGTCGATTGAGGTGTACGGAAGGTTGATAAGCGCAGATTTAGAAGAATTTAGTAGTTGATTTGGTGGTTTGTTGGTTGGTTGGTTGGTTGGTTGATTGGTTGTCGCAGTTCGTGAGCGCATGGTTACAACAAATATATATGTATACATATAGAGATATATTTCGGTTTGTTTTGTTTTTTTTTTTAATGTTTTGTTTTCGGTTTTTTATGTTTTCGATTTTTGATTTGTTTGAGAAGTTAAATATTTATAAATATATATATATAGAGAGGGAGATATTATTGCGATACGTATGTATATGCATGAGTGTATTTTCAAGAAAGTTTCAAGAGGTTTAAACAAATGGTTTACAAATAACAAATTAGGTTTATTTGTTGTGTTTGTTCCATATATACATACATATATGGATGGATGGATATATTGGGAAATAGAAAGATGAAGTGACGCAGAATAGAATAAAACAATATAGTAGATATATAGTAGCAGACATAGTAGTAGAATAGTAGTAGTAATAGTAGTAGATTCGAACGGTTGAGAGAGTTGAGACAAAACAGTAGTAGTTGTTGTTGTTTGTTGTTGTAGTTGTTGAAGTAGTTGTTGAAATAGTTGTTGTAGTAGTAGTTGTTGTTGTTTGTTGTTTGTTGATTGATTGGTTGGTTGGTTGGTAGTAGTAGGCAAACAACACAAGAATTCAAAGTAGTTCACACAGACACAAGGGGTTAAAAATGTAAAAGAAGAAGAACAGAAATACCAAAAGATTAACAACAAATCGTAATCACAGCTTTCATCGTGTCTTGTACTGTACTGCACTGTACTGTGTGTGTGTTTCGATAAAATATATATATGGGGCTGCGATTGAGAACTCATTGATGTTTATATATCGAAAAGGATAGATCGGGGAGAGTTAAGTCTAGATCTTTCCTATAGCGAAGGCTTTTATTTGTGTCTGTGTGTGTGTGTGTGTGTTTTCCGAGTCGAGTATTGTCCTCGCAAAACGTTCTTTCGGAGTTCAGAGGAGGAGCAGGAAGAGGAGGAGCACTCTTTAGTAATTCTGTATTCACACCAAGCACATTTAATGTATGTATGCCGTACACACATATGCACATACCGACTGGCGTACAGCCAGGCCCAGTTACATCTATGTACATTCAGATTTATTGATCGACATCGAATCGAGCGTGGCAAAAACATTGAAACACGACGTGTGATGCAAGCGAGTTGGATAATAAAGAGAACAGCAAGTTTTGATCGAAATGGTATTGATTGATTGTCGGTATAATTATAATCGAGGGAAGGGTAGGGGTCTGTCCGTAGGTAAGCCTGATGTTTGTAACTAAATAGTACATCCAAAAGATTGATCTAAGCCAGACCTCGTACAATCCGCTCTTTCGATTTGATTAAACAGAAGGAATCTTAGGAGAAAGGTCCTTATCTCGTTCAAAAACTCTCGTAGAGTGCAGATAAAAAACAAAAACTCTCTCGTTTGCTACTGAGCGGAGTCTAAAAGCTGTTGTTGCTTGTACATTGCCGTCAAAGCGTGGAAGAGAATGGGAGAAAGAAGAGCCTCTTACGAGCTCTGGTTTAAACACCGAATCATTTTTCTTGGATGTCTCTATCTAATGGTAAAATGTCCGTAATATAGGTCATAAGTTCACCAAGAGCAAATGCAATTATGTATTTTTGTTGAAATCACCAAGTAGAAGTCGTGTAGGGTAAACGTTCTATGTATGCTTTCATATTTTTAATGAACATTTTATGTACGCTTGGCAAGTGTCTAGTTCGTAAGGGAATAAAACATGAGCCATTGTCATATCATGTAATATCAATGCACATACATGATACTCTCAATTTTGATCAGATTATGTACATTTACATTACATTATTTGTACATTAGACACCAAATTGATGATCATCGATACATCTTATTGGCCTAGTTTCTTTTTTTTTCACATTTAGTGTACATTTATTGGACATTTACATGCATATGATTGAGTTCTGTGGTAATGTTACATTGGACGACCTATTGAAATCCTCAAGTCTTCAGGGATGTGGCGGTATGTATATGAAGGTATGTATGTATGAAACAAACTATATATCACAAATTAATTCATACATATAATTGAGGCCTAGTTATATTTTGAGAATCTCTGGATGTATTTATAGCCAGGGCGTACGAGTATAGAGATCGCCGAATATGTGTGATGTACAAGGATGTAAGAATGTAAGGGAGAAATGTACTGGAAACTATAAAAGGTGGAACAAACAAAGAGAGTGGAGATCAGGAATTAATCCAGTTTATATTCACGTCAATTCTGTGTGATGATGTACTGATGTATGTCTGCATGTATGTAAATATGTATGTTATGTATGTTAATATGCATGTATGTACGTAAGTTATGGCAGAGACTGGAGACTGGTGTTAGTTCTTACAGCAAATGCAATTCTATGTGTGTAAATCGGATGTTAGCGTCTTACAAAATGTTATATTACGTATTCAGATTCAAATATGTATATGTATAGATAGATAGATATATGTATAAGTTGATATCGATATGTATATGTATGTAAATTCTTCGGATCGAGTGAGTACATACCTCCTTCAGCATTGGCATCGTCTTGTGTGTAGCAAAGCATAAAGGCTAGAAAAACGAAGAGAAAATAAACGAGAAACCGAAAGGGAAGAGAAAATAGAGAAGAACAGAAGAGAAGAGAATCGAAAGAGATATATGTTTTGGTCAGTTTAAAACAGAATAGCGGTGGCGATCGGTTCATTTCGGTAGACAGAGTTATATTATCATTTGTGGTAAAATGTGATTATGAATGGTTCTTTCACTTGTATAAGTTAATGGTTAATATTCTAATATGCGGTTTTTTTTTATTTAATGCCAGAACCATTCAAGATCAGAGAAACCATCTAGGGGTTCCCTCTGTCTCTGCTGTATGTACAATATATTATTAGTTGGAAACAGACATAGCGGGGTATCAAGAGTTGTTTTGCTGGTTTTCATAGTCGCAGTAGTGATGTAAATATTTGATGAAAGCAGTTGGACACACAGTTATTATTATTAGTTTGATTTCTTGATAGAGAGAACAGCAATAAGAAGATATATATGTAGATATATATGTGTGTACTGTCAGTAGGGAGTAGCAGGAGAAAAAGCTTCTTTTTTTAAATGAACAAAACAACGAAATCAACTTGGTTTCATCTCGATGATGGATATGATGTAAAACGTGCTCTTCGTCGCAGTTACTTTGGATACAGAACAGTTACTTTAGCCTAACCCAAGACTATATATATGATAGCTATATAAAGAAAACCCCTCAAGGACTACCAGTTAGTAAGATCGTGAGTGTGTGTAGGTATAGCTTACTGTCTATATGTGGGTGTGTAGTGAGAGAGACTAGACCCGTGGAAAGCCCTGACACCTTAATGCATTTACAAAACGGTTTGAGCTAGATATACTGATATATCCATATATTTGCAGGGGGGAGTCCTCATTTCATCATATTCATAACTTACGTTGCGGTTCATTCGCCTGGTTGTTGTTGACATTGTTGATGTCAATCTCGCTGGTGCTGCTCACAACTCCATTGGCTAAACACACACATTTAACATGGGGTTCGATCGGGGGTTCGGGGTCACGGCACACACAAAATTATAAATACAACATCGACATCCAAGCACATCGAATAGAAGATGTCAAATGTGAGATGATGTACGGGTAATGTATCATTGGTTCATCATCATCATCATCATCGGTGGTTTTTATCCATGTGTGGTTGGTTGGTGGTGGTGAGTGTGGATTGAGTATGAGTGTTGGGACATCACGGGTTATCGGGGGGATAACAATATATAAATATATGAAAATAAACAGAAATATAAATCAAATAGAATGCAAAGAAAAATGGAAACAATAAAATGTAATTAACAATGGCTTGAATAATCCAACACAAATGAATTTAAATCAATAATTTCTCAGAGAATTTGCTTTTTCTGTTAACTTTTTAATTAAAATACATCAACATTGAGGAAGACAATAAACAACTATAAACAAACATGAAAAATCTGTAGCCGATGGTGACTGTTCCTGATTTAAAGGGTACTTTCTAGTTCTATAGACTCATCTTTATTTATTCCCAAAGAACAGTCCCCATTTGGCTAAAAATTGGACAAGGACCTTAAGAGTGAGTTCTGTTGGTGCAAAAGATGAAACCTTGATAACATTTACATCGATTGTCTTACTATTTAAATCAAATCAAAACAAAGGCACACACAATTTTTAGACACTCGAGCACCCGCCCAAGGGACATCAGACACACAAGCACACACCCAGTCAGAGAATCGGTAGAGAAAGAGCGACAGAGTTAAAGGACTGTGTTGGACCTTAAGTTTAAATCTAGACCTTCCCGCCTCCATTGCTTTCGGTCGGTTTTTTTTTTCCTCGTTTTCACAGTCTCCCGAAACGAACTCACGACGGAGTGAGAGATAGAGAGAGTCGGACGGCTGGCTTCCCTTGAGACTTGGTCTACTTACGCTCTTGGTCGCTGCCATCTTCATTCTTCTCATCGCGACTCTTCATAAACGGAAATTTGCGCGAGAATGTGAAATTCTTTTTCTTTCGATCCAATGTCGATTGCTAAAACAAATGAAAAATATGATTATATTTAAGAGAAAATATTATTGAATTAAATTCAAAGTAAGATACCCACCTTATCCATATTATTGTTGGCCGCCGCATGTCCCTGGAACTTGACGCTGCGATCCCTGGCCCGCATCTTTCGCTCCCATCGCCTCTTCGACGGCACTATGCCGATCTGCTCGTCCTCGTTGTCGCCCAGGACACGCCTTGCCTGCCACCACTCATCATCGGAGGCGTTCGTCACATGCAGTATATCGCCGTGCTTGAAGGGCAATCCCCGCGACGGCAAGCCATCGTCCCGATTCGGATCGTAATCGAATAGAGCGCGCACATACAGCGACCGCTTCTGTGTGGTCCGCAGCAGAGTTCCCGTTCCTCCAGCGCCGAGGGCCGCCTGCTGTTTCAGCTCCTGGATGCGAGCCTCGAAGCGGTTGTATTCCTCGGGCCGGTACTGTGCCACCAGGGTAACCACGCCTCCAGAAGTCTGCATTTACAAATAAGAAATTAGTACTCATATATATTTTGGTTTTTAATTTTCAATTTCAAAGTCACCTTGAGAGCCTGGGCCGCCTCCTCGTGGGTGGCATGCGTGAGGTTAACATTGTTTACGCTCAGCAACTGATCGCCACGCTTCAGCTCAGAGCCCAAGTCGGCAGGGCCGCCGGTCAGAATGAAGGACACATAGATGCCCTGGCCATCCTCGCCGCCAACGATGTTGAAGCCCAGGCCCTGCGGTCCCTTTTGGATGGTGATGGTGCGCGGTTCTCTACAGGGGATTTAACGGGATATCAGTTGTGGCAAAAGAGGGAGCAGGGGGTGCTGTTCTTTCGCTCTTACCTGGTAATGTCCTCGGTGCTGACAGCGCGCGGGGTTCCTGGCGGTACGGCGGCCAGTACATTTGTGGAGGCGTATCGCGAGCCGGGCTCTAAGGAGTGATTTTTGTTCAAGGTTTATCGTTGGTTTTCGTGGGGTATATATATATGTATGTAGTTATTATTTAGACATGGTAATATAGAGATAAATAGTTAGACAAAGATGGGGAGACAGAGACAGAGACAGAGATAGAGACAGAGAATAGATCGGTTAATAAGGCATTTAAGAAAGACAGTTCCCGCAGTTCCAAGAGCAATTCCTTATGAGATATACATATATATTATAGAGACAGAGACAGAGATTCAGACTAAACGCAAAAGGGACAGAGACAGCAGGCAGCGTCGGAGAAGGACGGCAACACAATATATATATATATATATACATATATGTATATATAGATAACTGAGGCCAAACTGAGGAAAACGGAAACGGAAGATAACAAAACGGAAACTAAAGATTGTATCCCCACAAAACACACAGATACACACACAGAAAGCACACACACACACACACACACACACACACACACACACAACAAAATCAGCAATGATCGGGTTTATATTCAAGGTAGTTTATGTCTGAAATAATCCCAAAAACGAACACACAACGTAACTCTAAAACACAGGCGCCAAGCTCAATATACTCAAAATCTACTTGGGAAGAGGGGGTGGACAGGGCAGCACATTATTAGCAGTTACCACAGCTTGTGGGGGTATGAAGGTGAATGTTTTTTCAAGGGGCCTCAACAGTATCATTATTCAACAGCAGAGCAGCAATACGGTTCCAAGGAAAAGGAATATTATTATAGATCGGGCGAGGATGAAGCAGGAAGGCAGGAAAAAGTAGGATGTAATAATAATACAATACAATTTATAACACACTAAATAAGCAAATAAATATAACAAGTAATAAAGGTGAGTTTGGGTTAAAAAGATGTGCATCTAGTGAGCAGGGCAACTTGAGATTTTCAAACTTTTGATTATTCCATAATTTTTCGTTAATAATCCGTTAGTTATACAATTAAAAGTTTGAAAATCCAAAGTTTTCTTACTAACTGGTTGCTAAAAAGAAGACCTACAATAACAGGCAGGAAATACCATGAAAGCTAAACTTCAGGAAGACCTTTTTTACGAATGAAAAAGAATATGTAAACTCAATAAAAATAAAATAAATAAGTAAACGAAATGCAAGTAAAATAAAAGAAAACAGATCAATACAAAGCAGAAAATAAGAATAAAGCATAAGGTTCAAAAGAAAAGACTAGATAACAATGATAAAGCCAGGCCCAGGTGTATTTTTTCCAGGAGACTCGCAGGGAATCTCCCACAAAAATCCTTGACCAGGACATGAGATACATGATACATCTGTATCTATCTACGATAAATTACAAACAGAAGATCGATTGAAATAAATAATAAACAAAATAAGGAAATCAAATGGCTTACGGCGCGGCTGGGGTGATTGGGATCGGTTGCTTGGTGGCTGGGATTCGACAGGCAGGGCGGGCATGGAAGCATTGTTATAAAAGGAGGCGGGTGGAGTGGCTGGAGTAGAGGCTGCTGCTGTCGTGCCGCTGCTGCTGATGTTATTGTTGTTGTTGATGCTGATGATGTTGCTGCTGCTATTGCTAATGTTGCTGTTGCTGTTAGCGCTAAGCGACGGTGGCAACTTGCTGCTACTGTTGCTAGTGCCTGTGACTGTGGTGACGGTGGTATTGTTGCTTGCAATGACTGATGCGGCTGCTGTGGCTGCTGCAGCCAGTGGTGTTTGTGTTGGTATTGGTGGTGAATCGACAACGGTCTGTCCCACACTATTTAGCGCACCTGTCGACTGCGAATTGGCCATCGGATGCTGCGCCTGTTGGTGAACCTGGCTTTGACTCTGGCTGCTGGCCAATTGGGACTGCGATTGCGACAGCTGCTGGCCGGCTGTAAGGCCTCCTCCGCCGGACGCACTGGTGGTCAAATGCTGTGTCTTGCCCACGATCAGTGTTACCTTGTCGGTGATCGATTTCAAAGTGGCCACCGCAAGTTCGTGCGTTACGTTCTCCAGGTTCTTTTCGCTCTATTAAAGGAATATATATATATATATATTTATATAAATGATCGACTATAAAGTATATCAAGATAAATACCCCGTTGGTGCGCACTCCAATCAGCTTGTCTCCAATGTAGAGACGTCCGTCCACCTGAGCCGCCCCACCATCCATTAGTTTCGTCACATAGATGCCATTATCGCCCGGGATATGCTGATTACCAATGCCGCCCGCAATGGAGAAGCCCAATCCCTTGCCACCCTTGACCAGATCAATCTCAATGACCTTGGGCCCACTGACACTATCCCGGGCATCGCCAGCTGCGGATCCAGGCGCCGGTGTGGTGGCCGTTCCGCGTTTTCGCTTAACATGAAGCTTCACCACATTACCCGCTTTCTTTAAAGCATCCACGGCGGCGGCATGTGGTACATCCACCACGGACACCTCGTTCACGGAGACAATAATGTCATTAATGCTCAGCCGTCCGTCGGCGGCAGCTGCTCCGCCCGAAATGAGCTTGGTGATGTAGATGGAGGTGTCGGTGCCGATGTGCGGATTATCCGTACCGCCGGCAATAGAGAATCCCAGTCCGGAGTTGCCGCGCTCCAGCTGAATGTCCTCGTACAACCAGCTGTCATCGCCATTCACCTGTAGGGGGATTATAGATAGTTAATTAAAGGTTTCAATCCACAAAATATAATTACACGAAAAGGCGACAACGCATAAAAGATGATGATGATTAATGGGTGGGTGGGTTGTTATGTGTGGGGTGAGTAAGTGTCGCGGTGTCTCACAGTGTTTATGACGTAATGGGGGCTTCGAATATTATCCTTGTATATAATCTTAATCATGTCAATTGGATTAGGATTATAGGTAACGAAATATGAGGCAAATTTTAATGAAGTGTGGCCTATATATTTATTCAAAAATGTGTATATTTGCTAACATTTGAAAAGTTTTTGTTATTTTGCTCAATTTTAGGTAACATTTTCTACTTATTGTTAAAAATGTGCGAAAAACACATAAGCTGCAATACTGAGAAGAGGATGCGATTCACTGGCCAGCTCCATTTATGCACTGTTTTTATGATGTCAGCATGGAAAACTCGATTATTTTGCAAACATATAAAATATGAACACACAGCACACAAGACGAAAACACAAATGTTGTTAAAAACGACGGACAAACGATGTTAATATTTAGCCAGATTTCCTTTTTGATTTTTAAAGAATTTGACTATAGGATTATATTAGATAATATTTAGTTTTAAATAAAACTGCAGTAAATTTAAAATAAATAATTTTAAAAAACTTAAGAAACATTCCACACCGTCTTAAAATTGTTTAAAAATAAAATTATATTCTTATTGTGCTTGAGGTTTACAGTGAATTTATAAATATATATATATTTTTTTTAATAATTGAAATCTAACTCAAAGCTATCTGGTAATTTCAAAAGTTTAAATATTTATTTTTTAATGGATTATAATTCATAAAGACCAAATATTCTATTCAAAGTTTATCGAAAATGGCAAACTGGCTAAAATATCTGACAGATTTTGAAACCATCTTGGGGGCTTACCTTTCCCGAAGACGCCTTATGGAGCTGTAGAAAGAGAGAGAGAGTGACGCCAGAAGAGAGACAGAGATTTAGAGGATTCAAAACATTGAGCTACAATACATTGACTTATAAATACATATGTACACTGTATGCATATCCCCCGCATTATAAGCCAGATTAACCCCTCAATGCCACACCCCCGCCGGAGATGGGAAATCGTGTCAATGGCGTCGTCTCTTGAATTATCTGGGCCGTAGCCAAAACTCTCGATGCAATTCACATGTTTTCCAATTAACAGACGACCAAAAAACACGAAAAAAAAAACAACAGCAAGCAGCCCGCTAAAAATGGCAACAAAAGCCACACACACACAAACAGCTTGCTTGCACAACCAAGATCTTAGAGGGTTAAGGGGGTTGGGTTGGCTTGTCTTGGCTTGGGCTGGGTTCAGTTCGGTTGGGGGTTATGGCATCGTTAAACGAGTTCAATTGATTAGCAGTCCAGTGTAAATGAATTCATCAAGCGCCGCCGACAGCAACATTAACTCTAAGAAAATGAGCGAAATATATACACATATTTGTTTATAAGTATGTGCATTGCAGTGTAGTGCACACCCCACTAGCTCTATTCAGTCTGGCGAAAAATTGCCAATTAACCCTTCCTGGGAGTGGGTCAGATCAAGTATACGCGTAGGGAACCCATGTGCTTACAGAGTATATTAATATAGGGTTTTGGATAATCACTAGAGGAATCACCATAGCGCAGGCACAGTGTTCACTCATCATAAAAGGTCCTTTGGCTCAAAAAATCTCTTTTTTTTTAATTTTGTCAGGTTCAATTGAATCTTTTTGTTATGCTGATATTTCAGTATTAACATATTATTAATATTGAGTTTTAATTGGGATTTGGAATGATTTTAAATAGTACAATTTCCTTCAGAAGGATAGAAAGTTAGCCAGTTAGAAACAAATAACAAAGTTCCTTGAATTAAAATTTTTATAAATTGTATCTACAAGCTATAATTAAAAACATTACAAGTTTATATTATCTGGTTAACACTGTAACGCAGCACTTGGGCTAACAGGTTCGTGCCGCTTCTGCTTCCGCTGACAACTCTGGTTACACTTTTTTCCAACCAAAAAACAAAAAAAAAAAAAAAAGAATTATAAAAAGAAGAAAAATTACATCATAAAGTTAACAATCGGAACTCACTTAATAAGAGCGGGCGTGGTGCCGGAGGTAATGGGGAAGAGTGGGGAGCTGTTGGGACAAACAAACACAAGACTTTGAGCCAACTAAACCCCTAGCAAAAAAAAAAAAAAAAAAAAAAAAACACGACCACAACAACACGCAACATTAACGGGGCCAACGAGCTACAATCGGTCTTTTCTGGGCCTTCGTTTTTCTACCTCTTTTTGGCTTTTGTAAAGTTGCACACCCTTGAAATTAGTAGACGGCACTAAAGCTAAAGCTAGCGAGGAGCCAAATCATATCATACAAAGCTCTTATCTTATCTATGATAAACATATGCTTGGGCTCTTCAACAGTACATGTATGGCCATACACAAACACTCGGAAATGCGGAAAACCCAACGGCAGACGACGATAAAATTCTTAAGCATTTGTAAGAAGGCAAGAATTCCAATTGGGGTTATAAAAGCGTAGAGCAGAGAGATGCTGCCGAGATGGCCATAAAGTTACACCAAAACCCAAGCGTACAGCACACAGTCCAGTCCAATCAATCAAATGACTCATGGCTGTGTACCCACTTTTAAGTGCTTGACCAAACATTCGCCTTGCATGCAAAGTGGCTTTAAACCCAAACAACCTCGAATGCTAAATGAAATCTAATGCACATTGCACTTGGACAGAAAGCGTAAACAATAGTTGCATCTATCAGATATCAGAATATACACTGATGTATAATCAAAAATATCATCAAAATTTGTGTGCGAGATTTACAAATTAAATGCAGATTTCAAAATAAATATTCACATTCTAATAAAACCAATTCCTAAAAGAACAAGGTTATTTTCTGTATAAATTAGGGAAAACCAATATGACTCAAAACTGAAAATACCTAAGAACTTTTCTATTGAAACTTATATCATTCATAAATCCAGAAGAAATCAACAGCTGAACGAGATCAATGACAAATTTGAATGCGTCAAGCTGCGTTGCACTTCATTGATCAAATCGAAAGCTAAAATTGTTGGCAAAATGCCCAGGGGCTTTACTATATGCGATGTGGATGTGATCAGACATCTGACGAACGAAACGGGACGTGACGATGATGATCGCGGTCGAAACACCTGCGAGAAAACCGAAACGGAAACCCAAAGCCATTATTCCATTATGCCGCCCGTGGGGGAGAAGGTTGAGGGTAGTACTAAAATTATGGATCAATATATGTAAACTTGTCCTTCGGATTTATTCGTTGCTACTGCTACTGTTTGTTGCCCAGACGTGATTTGTTTATAGCTTTTTTTTTTAAAGGAAAGGAAATGGATGATAAATATAAGGCGTATTGTACTATATCTGACTAGAGTTAATCGCTTTGCTTTGATTTATGGAGAATAGCAATAACATAAGTACAGTAGATACACATATTAACAATTTAAGAATCATAGTTAAAGCTCTATTTAAATTTATATTAAAGTTCACCACACACTTTTTATATTTTTTAAATATTTATAAAATATGTAAATTATAGATAAACATTATATTGATATTTAACAAACTGTCGAATTACTTATTTATGGATTCATTTATAAAGAAACATTGTTTTAGCCACATCACACTAGTAATATTTTTTCTTATAGGCAATATTCTCTGTAAATTCCTTTGTTTTTGTGGGTGGCAGACGAGACAGAAATAAAACTATTTGTAGCAAAAAACGAAGACGGTGAAGGAGGAGCAAGCGAGAGGGCCAGACTCAAATTGGGGGCGACAAGTGCAGCCATAGAGAAAGAGCGACTAAAGATAGCGGAGAGAGAGAGGACCGGAGAGAGAGGAGAGTGGCCAGAGCCGAGAGGCTACGCCTGCGCTGAATACGCGAGCGAGATATTAAGGGCACCAACAAACAATAATAATAACAACAACAAAAATGGAATGGAACAATAACAAGTCAAACAAAAGCAACGGCCAAGAAGAGGAGTGAGAAGAACCGTTGGTCGAGCATTAGAGAGAGATGGTGAGCGTTTCTTTCATTTTTTCTCCTTTTTTTTTGTTTTTGTTTTTCGCTGCGAACGCAATGCAAAGACGCTAAAATGATGACAACGCACCCAACTTCTACACATGGGGTGTATGCTTATGTGTACGTGCGCACACTCGCGGGCACAGTGTTAGTACGAAGTTGTCCATTAATATTTATTTTAAATTTAAGAAACTTTCCTTTTAAAAAAAAAAAAAAATATTCATCGGTAAAATATAAGTAGCCATAAAATAAGAACTATTATTTGTTCAAATGTTTTTTAGAGAGTTTTGAATAAACACCACAGGTTACTGATATATTTCTCAAAACGTAAACCAATTCCAAACAATTTCCGGGAACTAAAGACCACAAATTGCGCGATCGATCCCCCATTATTGGGACCTATCCTCTTGCTTGCAGCTGTGGGCAAACACTTGTATATATCACACATGCCGCCTATGAATCGAGGAAAATCGGCTAGCTAGCTAGCTTTCGGTGCGTCTGCGAATTTGATTTATAAATAAACCATGGAATCATCGAGCACTATGCTATATATGTGCCACATATATAGAGCACAGATTGCCCAAAGCTATAGACTACGAATTATGGATATTTTTGACCGATTTTTACCGAATCCAGGTTGAAGAGCGATGAGACTTTCTTTATAAAGCCACCGCCCCCGCTGCCGCCGCCGTCGCGCTTCTTTTTCCTTGTTGTCATCACTGCTGCTGCTTTTTAATTTTTTTTACTATTTATGTATTTTTCACTTATTTCAGATCGCGTAGAGTTGAACAGAAAAAAAAGAACGAAAAAGAAACACAAACACCGCTCTACACACTGACAAAAGCCGGCTGATGGCTGCTGGGCGTGTGTGTGTGTGTGTCGCTGCTTCCTCGTAACTATTTCGCTGCTATTTTTTAGCTTTTATTTCAGCCCGTTTCGTCGTCACCGCCGCCGACGATGATTATCCAACTTTGCACTAGATAAACAAAAATTCACACATATCGAGACTTTAAGTTGGATTTATATATAAAAACCGCACACGCCCGAGCGCAAGTTGTTTTCGTTTCTATTTTTCTTTTGTTTTTAGCGATCTCTTCACACCGACGGACGCTGAGCAAATGTCGCCGAAACAACAAAAAGGCGTAACACACAAAAATGCAGAGAGTGCGAGCGAGAGCGAGTGAGAGCTGGAGAGCGGCGCCGCTAAATTATTTATTTATTGTTGTTGCTCGGCTCGACAGGCAAATGGGAAATGGGAAAACAACAAAAAACACAGCGAACAGCCGTCTCGTTCGCTCTCAGCCATGCATGTTCTGGAGCGGCAGTTTTGTATTTTTGTTGGTTTTGCTGTTGCATTTACCAGAATTCATGGCACGCACACACACTCGCCTTGTTTTGTTGGCATTTTTCCCGTTTCGATCGATAGAAGTAACTATCGGCCAACTATCGCGGCTGCTCTTGCCTTTTTCATTCACGCTGGCAATGCTCTCTCACTCGGATAGGCTCTCTCGCTCTATCTCCCACACCTTGTTATGCCGCCCGTAATGCAAATAGGAGCGTTAACGTACACTTTCAGCCTGCACTGACTCACACCGTTAACCGCAAACTCCGTAATTCACATTTCCAAGTTTGCGGCACAAGACAAACAAAAAAAAAAAAGAAGTTAAACCGAAAACCGAAAACAACGAAAACACCCAACGAAGAACAAGAGACCGATTGACAGTGTGACCGTTCAGGGATCGCGGAATTAAGCTGAAGAAAAAATACCACATTTAACAAGTGGGTATTTTTGCTAGCAGTGTGCCCATATTAATAGTGTGCTGTGATCGCGCCAAATAGATTTCCAAAAGAGAGTAACGTTTATTTAAACTAAAATTTACTGAGGGTCCCAAATATCGCTTTAAATTGGTTGCCAGTAGTTAGAGCGAATGAGAAGAAGAACACAAAAACACGCGCATCTGGCTACTTAAAGCGCTGTCATGTTCCAAATATTTCAAATAATTATTTAATAATTACCTCTTTTAAAATGGCATTTTCTTCACTTACTAAAGAGCAATACTTGAAATAAAAATCAATACAAACCATAAAGACATCCAAGCAATAATAAAAAATAACAAACATTTCAAATAAAAAGCGCAAAAATATATATTTGTTTTGTTTTGGTTTTACATTTTTGGTTTCTTAAATTAAAGTCAATGTTTATTTGCAAATAAAACATAAGCATAACAAAATCATGCAAGAAAACGTAAATAAATTCAATCAAATTGTGATTTATCTGGAAAAGAAATACATAAACGTAACAGAATCATGCGCACATTAACTTAGTAAAAAAAAATTATATTTAATGGCCAGCACAGTATTTCGTTGCTTTAATATAAAGAAAATATGTTACGGCTGTTTGCAATTTTCTTGTTTTCCCTCAATTTGGCTCGTTTTCCTTTTGTTTCTATAAAGTTCTGGCCAGGCCTGGCCAGGGACCAGGCCAACTACAACTACCGGAAGCGGAAATGGGCGACGCTTGGCCCACAAAAACGAGGAGGCCGACTCGAGCTAAGCGACTTAAGTAAGTAACGATTCGTTAAGGAGGCGGAAAAACGGGTGGTGGTTGGTAAGTATAAAATAGGTGTGCTCCCAATTACACTGGCTTTATTGGCGATTTAAAAATGGGAGGCGTTCTTGTCGACCCAACTAACTGAATAATTAAGGCTTAGATGTATTTTAAGTGCTCCCTAAACTTCTAAAGCTTTTTTTATAGGTTTTTTATAGGTTTCCTATTTGAATAATATCTTCCATACTTTTGGCGAGTGGAATGTGTACGTTGCAATAGATTTACAAAAATGTATTTTTAAGAATTATCTTGATTGATTATAGCTCACATTTTTCCAAAGACTTTTATCGTTGCCAGACTTCTAAGTCTGTACGATTTTTTCCTTCTGAAATTCTAAGGATTTTCTTAGCTATTTAAGATGGTGGAATGCGTACGTTGCAATAGATTAGTACAATACACAAAAATGTACTTCAAACAATTATAGTGCTTAATTATAGCTTAAGTTTTCTCAAAAACTTCTAGCGTTGCCAGACTTCTAAGTGATCCTTAATCATACGATTCTTTTTCCCCTTCTTCTGAAATCCCCCAAATGCCGTGCAAATGGGAGCGGCCTTCATTCAAGGTACGAACTAATTAATTCTTTTTGAAAACAAAAAGGGTGGGCACTAATTACAACCTACTGTTTCCACTTTCCCAGTTGGTTACGCTTTCAGGATTTCCCCTCTCTGGAAAATGGTGAGAATTGGGCTGCCTCGAAAGTGGGCTTTAGCTTTTTGGCTGGATTATTATGGCTGTTAAGGTGTTGGCGCTGGTGCTGGTGGTAATGGTGTTGATTCTGATTTTGATTCTGATGTCGATGGAGGCTGACAAGGATGCGATGACTCTGCGGTATCTGTATTTGTATCTGTTTTTGTGTCTGTGTCTGTATCTGTGATATCTGGGATGGATTTCAGCTAAGGCCATTGGCACAAATGATTAAATTGCAGCGACTTACAGTCTGCGACCCGCTCCTAGACTTGGATCCTTGCTGCGATGTCTGCTGCTGTTGCGATTGCTGCTGCTGCTGCTGCGGCGAATGAGAGCTTCGCTGCGACTGCGTCTCTGCCGGTGGCTCCTTGGCATTTTCCGTATCCGATTCAATACGCATCCGCTGGTTCTGCGAAAATAAATTTAGCAAAATAACATAAAACAAGGATTTACAAAAAAATTATTTATATAATTATATTTTTAATATCAGCTAAGTTTGGCCCACAACTTTTCACAATTTCCTATTAAAAATATGGCTTTTCTCGAAGTTTTGGTCACACTAATGTCCTGTTTCCAGCACACTTACATTGGCACAGCAGCAGGCATAACGGCAAGCCACCCCACCGCTCCCCGACTCGCTGTCCCTCTCCTTTTCTTTATCCTTTTGCTGTCGCTCTCGCGATTGATGCGTTTGTTGTTGTTGCTGCTGCTGCTGCTGCTGTTGTTGTTGCGGCGGTGGACCCGTCAACTGACGTCGACGACGACGCATCCGGACCGGCGAACGCGAGCCAACATAATTGGAAAAGCGGCGACGCGAGTGCCGCACAATCGACACCCAATCGATCATTTCTCACAGTGTATATGTACTATTTTACTTGTGTAAATTAAAGCTCTAGTTTTTCTTTCAAATCGGTGGTTGTGGTTTCCTGGCTTGGTTGATTTTCACGCTCTTTTCAGTTTGTGCCTGTCATGTTTTGCTGTTTTTTTAAAGGATTTTGTATTTTTTTGATATTTTATATTTCGTTGTATATTTAAATATATTATTTAATTTATGTTTTATTTATAATTCAATCTAAAATTGTTTTAATCAGGTTTTCCTATTTAATCTTCTTATAAAAACTTCTAAGACAATGTGGCAACGCCAACGCTTTAGGAACTTCTCAAAATTTGGTACAGTTTCTCACTAAATGCGATACTGAACTCAGTCAGGGGTGCCCTAATTTGCTCCCTCGTACATATTACTCCAGAATTGATATGATTATGAATAATTAAGTGAAAGCATGAGAAGTATGTATGCAGAAAAGTGAGGGGGCATTGACATGTTTTACTTTTCCTTTGAAGAGTTGCGATAGCAACAAGTTGGGTACACACAGCCCCGGGCGGGCGGGAAAGCGGGAAAGTGGAAAAGTGGGAACGAATGGGATTGAAATCAGCAGCCTGTCATCTTTTGTGCTGCTCTGTCTATCTCTATCTCTCTCTGTCTTTGTTTGTGTTTCACCGGTTTTACACACACACGAACACACACACACCTCAGATGAAAATCTGTTTGCCATTTCAATTTTTCTTTGGCGATGTGTACACGCAAGTAATTGCCACCCACCGCCCACTCACAAAAAAAAAAAAAAATTAAAATGAGAAAAAGGAATACAGTGGTTGCAAAAATGTTGAGAAAGACACTCATCTCATGATATATTTTTTGCCATCTGAACAACGAATAAAAATGACTTAATTCTGGTCTTTTCCGGTTAATAATCGTCGAAGAAAATAAATGTCTTGACTTTGTATAAATTCCAATGAATCATTATGTGTTTTGTTTTAATTCCATTTATATTTTTGGTATTTATTTATATGGTTTAGTTTTTTTTGATAATATTTATTAGTTTACTTTTTTTGTTTAATTCTCTGTTTTATTATTAATTATTTATCCTTAGGTTTGAGTATGTATATTGTGAAATACATATTTAATTTTTTTTTGTTTTAAATAGATTAACTATTATAAACATTTTATTATATATATTTTAAAAATTTTAAGAGCTCGCAAAATACTTTCAAATGATTTTTCAGTTTGGTTTTTGTATTTCAGTTTGATTTAAGTTTTAAAATTTCAATTTAAACTGTGTTTTTCTGCATTATAATATATTTGACTTAAAACATTTTATGAAAGAATATTTTTAAAGAATATTTTTCAAATAAAAACAACATTTTTCTGCTGATAACAACCACCGTACTTTTAAAGTTCGATTTAGCATTCGATTTATTTTATAGAGTGTGCCAAGGCCCGAATAACGAATAACGAATACACCGAAACAACGAATTCTGAATGCCAAATCGCTTTTTGTTTATAGCCAGATCAGATCGGTTTGGATTGGAGGAACATGTGTTCAGTTCTGTATGCAAAATTAGCGCTGGGAGATGGACTAGGACTAGGACTGGTCGGAAAATCCAAACGGTATTTGGCATGAAGGAAAAGCCAAAGCAGTGGCAGTGCGAGAGCTGCCAAAATAAATAGATTGATATATTGCCCGACTTGCTTCACTGTTTTGCTGTTTGTTGTTCTTGCTCTTTTCTTGATTTAACGATGTTTTCCAATGCCAGACGCTATATAGCCATGAATGAAAAACTCAATGGACGGAAAGACAGAGGGCAAAAAATGGGGCGGAGTACATAAGGAGGTTGAGTTAATGAAAAAAAAAAAACCTACATAAAGCAAAAACACAAAAAGATATATATATATATATATATCAGTAGAGGAAACAGTGAAAACTTTCAAGTGGAATCTGGTTTAAAAGGCTTTATGTTTATTTTTAATTAAAGGTATCTTTTTCTTGAGGTTTTCTTAACTTTTGATATTAATTTTTAATTTAAATAATATTTTTAACACATAAATCAATTCAAGAAATCCAAAAATTTAACTTTAAATTTTATTTTTAAATTATTTTATTTTATTATTTAATTATGTTGATCATTTTTGATCATTTTAGTCTTGTTTAATATTTTGTTTTCAATAATAATTATTTATTAATAAATCTCTGTTAGTAATTTATTTATTTTATAACTCACTCTCTTATTAATAATAAATTTCTCACTCAAAATATATTGAAATTCCAAGTATTCCTATCGATTTCTAAGGAAAATATGTCGACCAACATTGCCGGGAATTATCACGATTTGCAGCAATTAATTTAAGTAATGTCTCAATTAACTGCTGTGCAGGTTTAATCACTTTTAATTTGCGGCACCTGCTGTCGGCGGTGGCTTTAATTTGTGAGCGATTACTGTGCAGGGCCTGGCGGGGCGTATACGTAATATTTGGAAGGGTGCCTGCTCATCATACGCCCCGTGTGCCGGCACCATGGTTCACCTGCCATCTTGTAAATGCCCTAAACTTTGTCTTGTTTAAATCTTGTTTTCAGTGCTTGTATGTTTCGCTGCCTTCTTAATATATTTTTCTCTTAGGTATATATTCTTCTTTTCTTTTTTTTTTTTTTTTTTTTGTTTTCATTTGATGTGTACATTCTGTCTTACAATTATGTAAAATGTTTGTTTTTTTGGCGCCAAAGGAGATGAGTGATGGACACGCATGTGTCAGGCCCAAAATAAAGGAACAACAAGAAAAACAGACAAAAAAAATGAGACCGGCCAGCGACTGATAACGGGATAAACAAAGCGCGACAGAAGAAGTGAAGAGAGAAAGAGCACGCGAGGGGTCATACACGCAGAATAAAAAAGGGCATTGACCTTATTTGAAAGTCTTGAAAAGTCTTTAAGAAAATCTGTAACTAATTTTCAAAAATTTAATAAAATTTTCTTTGTTGTAATCGAGAAAAAAAACATATTTTTTAAGGCCCAAAAGTAGGCTATGATATTCCTGTTTTTCTGTAAGTTTAATATTTATCAATTCTTGGGGTTTCCCCCTGTGACTTTTATATTTTCTTATATTTTTTTAAGTAATCTATTTATTTTAATATTAAAATAGGCTAAATAAATTAATAATAAATATATTAATAACATTCTCCAACCTATGGTTTCTTAAACATTTATTTCACATAATTTTGTATTCAAAATACTTGTAATAATTTATATTTTTCAATTTAATTATTTATATTTTTTATGTCAAAAATTGCCAACACACTTTTCCTAGTTCTTAGTACTTTTATTATTAATTGTTGTACTTATTTAGCTTAAAAATAAGCATGTTTTGAACACACACACACACACAAAAGGAAAGAACTAAAACAAAAAGCCAAACAATTCCGGCAGCTTTATATTGTTGTTGTTGTTGTTGTCGTTGGTGTGTGCGTGCCCGCTTAACGGGGGTTAAACATCGTCTGAAGGGGGTTAAAGGTGATTCCACCCCCCCAGCCCACGCTCCTCCGCAAAGAATGAGAAATAAAGAACAAATCAGACAGACACGCGCCGCTATGCTAAAATTTTTGTGCGACTCGACGCGTCGACGGCACGACTGTTACTACCGCCTTCGCCGTTCCGTCGTCGCAGCCGTTTTCCTTTCAGACGCCCACCCACCCGCCACCTAGCCACGTAGCCGCCCATCCACCCACCCAGCCGCCCCCCTTTAGAAACCAGTCCACACCAGACCCGGACCCGGGTCTGGGTCCGGGCACAAGTCCGTCCGAAGCAGCCAAGAGCACTCGCTCGCTCGGCTGCCGGCGGTGCTGCTTCGGCTGCCCGGCCAAACAATTGACACGAAAAAAAAATATACAAAAAAATAACACAAAAAAAAAATACTAAGCACAAAATGTATAGTACCCGGTATAGCCAAAAAAAAACAAAAAACAAAAAATAAGTAATGGGGACCTTGGGCAATCGTTCATTGGTTAGCACTGATAACAAACATTTGTCGGCATTCCGGCAGCATCCTTCAAGCCTCAGGCAGCTTGTGCCGGCGGTACAGTGGGCCCTCGCTAGCTGCGACGCCACTTTTTACTTATTTATTATTAAAAATTTATAGTAATAATTTACTCTGGCTGAATAATTAATGGTAGACTCTGTTTTTTGGAAGCTATAAGATCTATTAATATTTTTTTATTAATTCTTTGTCAAAAGATATATATAATCTTTACAGATATATTCCAATTTAAACTATAGCTAAACTGAAAGTTAGTACCAAGAAGGTATTGGAAAAATATTTAAATATATTTCTTTAAAATTTATATTAAATTTTAGTTTTTAAGTATTTAATTGTACTTTTATCTTTGTAAATTTCTTAGAATTCTCAAGTGATTCTTAGAATTCTCAAGTGATTTTTACAATTCTCAAGTGATATTTTTGAACAAAAAGTTAAGAAAACATGTGTAGCTTCATACTTCATACTTTTACTAAACCCCTTTTTGTTGATGATCAATTTCTTTTAAAAATCATTAAAAATTAACCCTCAAAATAATATAAACTCTACGTTTTCCATAGCCAATAACCACGGCTTTTTCCGAGGACCCACAGCACGCTTAACGTTTTACCGTTCGTATCGCTTACCGTTGCCAATTTTGTTACGTTCCACACGTTTCATCGTTTCGCCGTTCCGATGAAAGTTGAACGGTTTCACGATTTTACGATTTCACGATTCACGATTTCACGACCTCACGATTTCAGTACGCATGTCCCAGGCGACAAGCCGCAGCAACAATTGCAACAACAATAACGAACTGGGTGCGAAAGAACAACAACCAGGGGAGCAACAGAGACGGCACGATTTGGTAAGAGCAGGCGAGGGCGAAAGGTTGTGAATCTGAGCCTTTATGTCTGCTCGTGCCTTTCACGGTGGCTACAGGCTACAGCACACACCATCATCAATCGCGTCGAACCGAAAACTAAGCCCAACCGAAGAAACACTAACTGACGACTAAGGGATACCCCTTGAGGGGTTTAAAGTTCTCTGGTGATTTCAACAAAAAGTCTTTATGAGACAAGATGATTCTTATAGAATGTAGAAACACTTTAGTTAAAAATAATAAATATCAAATTTAAATCTTTTAAAATCTAGAGTTTTTAAATCTTTTATTACAATAGTTAAAATGAAAGCGTAATTTTTAAAACAAAAATAAATAAATAGATATGTAAATCTATTTAGAATAGTGTGCATTTCCTGTAGCATACTTTCCGGCTTGCGTTTAAGAAAACGAAATATCTAAGAAAACTCTTATGTTCATAGTTCTTCAAAGCTAACCATAGATTTAAAATCCTGTAAAAACATGCCAGGCATCTTCCTCTTTTTTAATAATCAATATTAAGCACACATTTCCAGGCAATTGTACCAATTAAAAATCTGGCTAATGGGTATCATTATTGCTGGCCTAGAATGGGGTAACGGTTGTCATAGCCACTTAAGCCGCATCCAGGGACATCTGGGCGTAAGGACATTCAACCAGGCCTCTTGCTGGGATCGAGTGCCTGTTCAGTCCTGCTCCTCCTCCTCCCCAATCCTGGCACTCCATCTCCATCCTACGTTTTTCAACCGTTTTCATTCGCCACGTGTTAAGGACCCAGGACATGTTCAAGAGATTTCAATTAGCTTCGGGCCAACTAATGGCTGTGCTCTCGATTTTTTTCTACATCCATTACCGCGTAGGAGGGGAGGCGGGTGGCGACATTTATGAGGCGGGGCGGTGACGGGGACGGAGACGGATATTAACCCATTTTTCGCTAAAGTGACATTTTTCAACCCCAACAATTTAGCTGGCTTTTAACATGGTTTAAGCCACCAAACTAACCTAATTTAATAACAAATTTTTGTATTGAAATTAAAACGATTTCCAATAAATGGATATACATATGTATGTAATTTGATGTAGTAAAAGCTCAAGCCAAAGCAATATGTATATTCTTGCCTTTCTGAGGTGAAAGTTTTTATTAATAACATTAGTAAAAATAACTAAGGCCTCGAAAATAATTAAAGCGGCATTCAAAAGATATTTTTATATTTTTATTTTAGTTTCCAAATTTTATTAAAAATTAAATTAAAATATTTTTGTATTTAAATTAATTTTTAAAATTGTAACTGCCTGTAAAATAATTCGTACTGAGCTGAGAAAAGCAGTAAATATTGATATATCGGCAATGTACTGATATTTGACGCCATACTCGATATATAAATCGATACTTTAACGAAGCGATATACATATGTGCGATATATCGATATTATGTTTAATATATCGGACAATTATAGTCGTTAAAGGTGACAATTCAATTGTTTAATAAGAATTGTAATATTGTTTTTATAATATGGATATTTAAAAGTCAAATGTGATATTTTTCGATATTTTTAAATTCAAAGTTTATGATATTTTCGATATGATATCGATATCCCCTCGATATATATACATTCCTAAATTAAGCAAATTGATGCTGTATAGAATAAATGAATATGACTGATATGAAATGCCGTGTGTGCGAGTGCAATCTTACCAAGATCTCTTCCAATTCGCTCTTAAATGTTCTGCTGAGCGCCTCGGCATGCGCTTGGGCACTGACATTATTCGCGATCTGATTTTGATTCGGGGCTGATTGGTTGGTTTGATTGGATGAGGCGTCGCTGTTAAACTCATAGGCGCAATTGCGATTTAAATTTGAAGTTTTGATAAACTGTGCGAGAATCGGATATAGTAAGTAGTAGTAGTAGTAAGCATGGAGAGTGGAAGAAGAGAAGAGAACAGAGAACAGTATAGAGTGGGGCAGATCGAGTAAGAGCAAGAAGAATAGACTTGAAACGGGAAATAATATCTCAAACTCAAAGGGAAACTGGAGGAACCATTGAAAAACATTAAAAAATATATTAAACTGATCTGAAATAATATAGCTATATATATCGGAGAAAACGTGGTGGAAAACAGGTAAGAATATATATTTATAAGATTTATAAAAGCATAGGAAAAACTCCAGGCTTAGACAAAATAATACCTAATATTTAGGTAAGATCTGGGATGGAATACAAACAGAGAAAAGTCTGCCAGTATAAAGAACAGATCTATAAATAATATTTGAAAATCAGACAGAAACTGGTTAAACTGTATAGAATATAGGATAAATCTAAGCGTAGGAAAAACTATAGGACTTTAACTGATATTTTCAATAATTTGAAATATGTATATATATATTATGAACGATGAGATCTAGAGCTTTAACAGATGAACAAAGTGAACAAAGCAAAATAAAACTTTTGAGGAAATGTCACGAAATGATCTTGAAACCAAAATCAAAAATCAGTGTGAACAGGAGGTATTTCTAGGTATATAAATCTATGATTTATATGTTTATACGCCTCTCTTGTACATATAACCAACAACCCAAAACACTTGTTCACTATATCTATGTGTATAGGAAATTATTTTAGCTTCTGAAGTCTACTTACATCGGCTATTTTAACGGACTGCCCATCCTTCTCCCATTTGGTTGCAATTTGCAAGGTCTCCGCTGTCTTTTGCTGTATGCTTTTCGAGTCATCCAATAATGTCAATTCATAGAATTCTTGTATATCTGCAAAAAGGAAAGAAAGTTAATTATTATTTTATAGTAATATGCATACAGTCTTAGGACTTATTTAACTTCTTTATTTGAGGGACAGAAGTTGAATTACCTAAGATCTCTCTAAAAAATTTAGTTACTTTTAGGGTAAGTAACTAAGTAATAGCACATATTAAGGACCACATATACTATAATAGCACATAATAACACAAACACGTGCCCACAAGTGCTCGCCACCGTCACTTCAGTCAGGCTATGTTAGAACAAGTTGGGAATTATACGTGCACACGTGTCAGATTTTTTGCCAGGCAATTTTTAGGGTGAATTCGCCATGAAATGAAAAATTGACCAGGAATACAAGTGGAACTTGCCCTTAAATTAAAAAAGGAACTAAGCAAATCAGATCGCCGTAAATTTAAGAAAAATAGAAAAAATAAGCCTGAAATATTTGATTTATGTTATGGTGGTTTGCCTTGATTTGATGGTACCTTTCATGGAAACATTTTCTTAATTCTAGAAAATTGTTCTTAATTTTATTTTTGAATATAGAAAAATGTTTGTATGTAGTTAATAAAGATAATTACATTTTTAGTTTATAATATTTAGAAATAGTATAAATAGTGTTTTTACTTCGAAACCACCACTTAAAGTGCTAAAATTAAATAAAATATCATTCGAAATTTAAGAAATTTTTTATTTTATGAAAAGCTTGTAATCATAAGTTGGTAATTCGTCCATTTTCAGTTTTGTTTTAATGCGATTTTAAATTCTATTAAAGTATTTAATGTATTATAAATATCCATTTTAATATCCAAAAATCATCGTCGTTTCTTAAAGGGCTTTACATTCAAATTTAACATCGCCGACCTGTTAGAAAGAAAGGAAATTCAATTAATTTGTTTTTATAATTTCATTTTAAATCAAATTTACTTACGTTCAACACTGGCCACTTGTATTTATTGAAGTTTCCATAGAACCACCGATTCACAGCCTTTGTTTACAGTCCGAGGGTCTTGAAATCTGCTCTGCTTTTCCGTTTGCCAACTCAGCGAAAAAATTAAAATCAACTCGAGTGGCCAAACAGCAGATGAATAATTAACCACCAGCAATTCTTGTAAACATAAACAGCCACAGTCATGGGTTAACATTGAATAACGATAACGAGCCAGTGAAGTGCAGCCAAATAAATAAACAAAAATATTGAAGACGAATTTTTCCAGATTCTACAGAAAAAATATGATGAATATGCACGCGGGACACTGTCAGAAAAATAATACGATTATGTAGGATGTTTATATATCGAGATGAATAAAATATTAAACCTTTTTATATAGAATTTTGAACTATAGAAAAAGTATTGAATTTTACCTTTAAATATTGAAATTATCGATATAATAATAATAAAAAAAATGGTGTACTTAAGTTTTTTGTTTCTTATTTCAATTTTGATTGTTATGATATATTAAACCAAATATCGATGTATTACATTACAACTTTTGTATATCGAATTTTTAAATATCGAAAAATTATCGAATTTTTTTTTTTAAATATTGATATTATGGAAATAAATCAGAAAATTATGTATTTCATTTATTTGTCTCTTTATTTCGATTTTATTGTTAAGATATATTAAACAGCATAAATCCATATGTTTATCGATACATTAAAATATTGATTAATATATATATTATTGATTAATATGATTGATTAATATATATAATTATTGAGTAATATAATATATAATTAATATCTTCAAATACTCCTTAAATTAATTTCAAAACCATATCATCATATATTTCTAATATGTTTAACTTTTAATAAACTCCTATTAAGCGGTAGCCAAAAAGTAGGCAATATTTTCCATTTCTTATTTAGTTGCTTAGTTTTATAGGAAAATCTCTTGACTTGGTTCATCAGAGCCCATATCTATTCATATTTTATGTTCAAAATTATTAAATTCATTTCAGTGTCAGGCAGGCAGGCAGCCAGCTGCTTTGGCGGAACTTAGAAACTGTCAGAATGCATCTCAAATGCACACATTTCAATGCAAACTGACAGCGGAAGTAACGGGGTGCAATATGGGCCGGCACAAGAGAGGGTTACACACACCCACACACCCACACACACACAGACACACGCTTTTGCCACCGCCAATATGTTTCGCTTCAACAGCAGTCAAGTGGCCCAAATGGGATACCAAAAGAAACCCCACTGAAGCTCGGAACCAAAAATCTGTGAACAAAAAATATATATGAAAAAAATTGAAACGAAATCCATGGCGCCCATTTAATTTCCTGTGCACGACAGCAATCCCGTTATGTGCAGTAGGGCGCAAGGAGGAAGCAAGAGCGAAAGAGAGGGGGCGAAAAAAGCAGGGCAGGAGCATTGAATTCCATGGGATATAGCGATGCCACCCAATATTGCAGGGAAAAGTACGCGCAGTCATTGAAAAAGTGTGTGTACATATGGTACAGGCCACACTCGTTGTGGTGAATTTTAACTGTCTGTTAAAGTTAATTAACGGTTGATAAACAGAAAATAAAAAGTTAGAAATAATAAAAATAATAATAAACTTGGGTTGTAAAGCTTAAATTCAGTTTTTTAATTTTAGTTAATTAAGCTTAACCTAACTTTCTGTTATTTTTTATCCTCCAGATTAATTAGCCGATATAGAAAAACAGTGAATAAAATGTACTTGGGCTGTAAAGCTTAAATTTAGTTTGGTTTTTCATAAAGGAAAAAATGTATAGCTAATTTTAGTTAATTAAGCTTATCTCTGCACTCTGTTTTTTTTATCGTTCAGATAAATTACCCGATACAGGGAGGAAAAAATAAAAAAAAAAGGTACACACTCACTTTATAAACATAAATAATAGTTCAAAAGTATTTACTTCAGGTGTCAAAGGTTAACCTAAAATAATTAAAGACATCTAAAACCTTCTAAAAACCCTATTATAAAATCTTCCATTTAACGAGTGATCACTGTATGTTCCCAATAACCACCATCGGCATTTCAGTACGTTATGCAATCGATTTGGCCACTTGAACTTAAAATGAGTTATCGAATACTTCGGAATGCTGCCCGCCAATGGATTCTTTAGTTCTTCTGTTATTTTCCCCAACCATTATTATTGCTCATTCAATTTGGTTTTCTTTTTTTTTCCTTTTTTGTTTTTATTTTGTCTTTGTTGGGCCAACATTTTTCGCTTAGCTCAGCTGAATGCCAATGTCGAAGGCAATAGAAAAAAAAGATGCTAAACTTTATTTCTCGCCATCTTGAGCCTGGGGGGGGAATTCCGGGAAATCGATAAGTCCCGGTAACACAGGATCCACATAATACACTCATAGAAAATTGTACCTTAAAAAATCGATAAAAAAGCCTGTATATTTAGAAGATTTTTGTGTTTATAAAATTCCGGAAAAGTAATTATTGATTGTAGAAAAACTTTCTTAGTTTAGGTTTTTCCTGAATAACGAAATATATTTTTATGAGTGTATTCACAGTATCTGCATATGTAAATGAATGTATATATGTACATATGTACCTTCTATGCTCATGTGCAGGTCGCAGATGATTCCAGTTCTAGGCCAATTAAATTGGGATTAGGGTTTGGGACTGGGACCGGGCCACGTGCAGGTCATGCTCCTTATGACCTCTCATCGTTGGCCCTCCTCTCTCTTTGCTTTTTTTTATTGAATAAAAACTTTGGGCTAAAAGTTTACAGATAAAATTCAGCAAACAAAATGCCAACTTTCAAATAAAAAATTGCCCTCAATTTGAGCACAGTGGACATCCGTTATAGTAAACAATTATTATTAAGGTATAAAGTAGATTACGTTATATGTCAAGTTATTACAAAAATAAGTTAGGGACAAAAATATATACGGGATAACAAATAAGCATATATTTCAGTTTAAATGTTTTCAATTTTTACAAATTGTCAATTTCAGATAAAAGAATAAAAAAAAGAATATACTTTTCAATTTATTTAATATTATATTAAATTTAAGATGAATACAAATCTTAGGTACATTTTGCACATTTCTTTAAATCGGTTTACCAACTGTGTGTACCTAACCTAGGTACATACATATGTACATGTTAAAGTATCTTCTGTTGTATCTCATTTTCGACAACATTAATACATTTATATCCATTAAAAAATTACTCATTATTCGTTTTTTTTTTTTAAATTTTTTTCTGACAATTAAAGAGGAAGCAATACAGAAAGAGAGATATAGAGCAAAAGAGAAAGAGAATTAGAATAAAATGGGGAAAAGCCACGGACAGACACCCAACCTCAAGTTGAATACTACACCCCAAAGCACACGCACACTCGTACACACCCAGGTGTTGGGCGCCTTTCATGTGTAGGGATGCGGCTAATACCTTGTTAATTATTTCTCGGACACATATACACAACACTGGGCTGGACCTTGTTACGGTGTACAGTTGTACAATAAAATAAACTGAAAATATTATATACAAATTAGTTTTGATTCAAAGCTTAAGTTCTTAATTCCTCAACTGAATCTTATTTTTAATTGGCAAACTAGTAAAACCAAGTAAACTTAAGAAAATATATACATTAAAGAAAATCCATATAAGGAAAATCTATACATTATAATAAGCATGAAATTAAAATTGAACAATGTAGACTCTCCCCCCTTTGCCACATCAATACTAAACATTTTCCTATGACTGGCATTTTTTGTGCAAATTCTTGAGCCTTATAGAAATGACGGACACTTTCGGTCACGAGGTGCGGCAGCACAGCATTGGGGGTTTGGGAAATAGGATAAATTTGGCAATGACTTTGAGTTAAACAAAGGCCAGGACTTGATGTGGAGAAGGTATAGGGATCAGGCTCGCAGGGAAATTAATTCTCTAACCTTATACATATATACATATATGTATATAGTGTAATCAGGCATCCTTTGCTAATATTATTTTATAAACCTAGGTTTTTAGCACATTGTGTATTCAACTATTCATGTAAACCTAGCTTTAAAACACTATTAGACTTGTTAAAAAAAATCGTAAGCCCCATAAGAAAATGCCTGTTAATTGCAAATCTAATTTTCCAATACAATTCTTTTAAATTAGAATCCAAAAAAACCGCCTTTTAGAGCATTTTTATGATTATTCTATGATGGGTAATTTTACAGGGTTTCTTTTAGTTTTCGTCTTGATTTTCTGAGCGCGGGTTTACTTTGTGAATTTTTTATCAGTTTTTAAAAATGTTAAAAATAAAATACTATTATTTTAAATATATTTTTAACAAAATAAAAATGCTAAAAAAATTTTCCAACATCTAAAAGTTACAATTTCCGAAATCTTCGTCAAAAAAAAGATATAAGATTAAGAATATCCTAAGGTACTTTTCATCAGTTTTCCAAAAATGTTAAAATAATAAAAATACTATTATAATTAAAATACTATTATTTTTAATAAATTTAAAATAAAATAATAATGCTAACAGATTTCGCTTACATCTAAAGTCTCAATTTCCAGAATCCTCAAAAATAAAAAGATTTCAAAATACGTTTTACCAAAATCAGAAAGGTAATGAGATTGTGGGGTCCACCCTAATGCTCAGCTCCTGTTTTTTAACGTGTCACGTGTTTGGCTTGTTTGCATGTCGTGTGCCAGTGTGTGTGTATCTGTGTGTTTGTCAGCCGTTTAACATTTCTGACACGCCAAGCGCAGTCACTGAAACTGTAACGGTAACATGGGGCACAGGCAGAGGCAGCGGCAGCGGCAGAGGCAACGATGGGGAAAAGGGAGGCACAGGCACAGCGGTCTAGAATGAGGGGAAAGGGGGGAACAGGCACTGAGGAGCAGAGAGGAGAACGAGAAGAAAGAGGAGCCTAACGAAACGAAACGGATTATGCAACTGCCACTAACAGCGGGCAACACAGTTTGCACCCAGGGGGCCAATACAAGGGGGGCCGTAGGGGGAGGCGATGGCCGGGCGGAACTTTTGCAAATTATACAACAGGCAAGTCCCGCAAAACAGACAACTGCAGACCTAATAGATGGACGGGTCGACAGAGACGCAACTATTGCCATAGAAAGAGAGAGGGCGAAAGTGGAAGAGAGAGACGGAGCAATGACAGCAAATTCAAACAACAGTGCTGCCAAATTTTAAAATAACCAAGTGTGGTTAAAGTTTAACAGGGAAACGAAATAAACACACAAAGTTCAATGAAATTTTCTGCTGTCCAAAATAAAATTTCTTAGAGAGAGATATAAAATCATGAAAATATTAATTGAAACTAAATACATTAAAGATTTCTATAAATATATAATTTTAAAAAATATAATAATGTATTTAAGAAACATATAGCTTTATTAAAAATATTTTAGAATTCTTTAGAACTGCAACTTTATATCTGCATCTTTTAATTGGTTTTTATTGGCCATTAATTTATAAATTTAAAAAAATATATATTCTATTTAAAAAATATATAATAATAATGTAGCATTCTGGCTTTTACTATATCTTAATATAAATTTGTTTTTTTTTTCGCGACTAAATTGCTTTATTTAAAGCTATGGAAAATCTTTTCATAAGCAAGATTTAAAATAAAATTTAAAAATGAAATAAATTGTAAACTCCAAATACAAATAACTATTTTAAAGAAATATTATAAAAACTAACCGAAAATATATTAAGAAACTAACTAAAACACAAATATATACCATCCCAAATGAAATTCTTCTAGCTTTAACAGATCCCGAGATCCCTTAGATATATTTCTATATATATATTATTGTTTCTTTTATGGCCAAATAATGTTTATATATTCGTCATTTTTATGGGCCTTTAAAATAAAGAAACACCTGACTTGACCATAAATATATAAGTTAAAAAATAGAATAATATATATTAAAAATATATAATAAAAATATTCAAATATATTTTCAATTATATCTCAATTTGAAATTGTTTTCCTCGACTAAATTGATACATTTATATACCATCCCAAATGAAATTCTTCTAGCTTTAACAGATCCCGAGATCCCTTAGAGTTACCATAAAACTCTTAGAGATATGCAAATAACCAAATAAATGGGCTTCCTTCTTTTTTATGGCCAAATAATGCTTATATATTCGTCATTTTTATGGGCCTTTAAAGTAGAAACAGCTGACTTGGCCGCATTACTATTGGCCAGAACGCCTGCTGTTCGCCGGTGGTATTGCCTTCTATTGCGGCGCTGCTTGGGTCGTTTTGACCCAAATCCTATGCAATATTATGGTTCTGCTGCTGTCGCTGTTGTTGGTGCTGCTGCTCGTCAAGTGGAAATAATTTGCAGCAAGAAGAAACAAACGAAAAATCAATAGACGATAGGCAACTCTGCACAGATAACAACTACTTTTCAAGGATGTTTCCAGCCCATCAAACATTTCCTTCTAACATTTCTTGGCATCAAGTTTACGACATAGTTTCGAGCTTAGCAATCATCATCATTGCATTAGGCTAAACTGTTTTTATTGATTTGGATATAGCAATTTTGTTCAAAGACATCTCTAAAACCATCTTGGAATCGTAATTAGTGGGATTTACTCACCTAACAGCGCTTGAAACAAGCGAGACTTAAATATGCGTATAACGCGTTCGATTGCAATACGCAGCGCCCGATCCTGCGGCTCGGAGAGTCTAGCGTGATAGTCCTCGAGCAGCTCGAGAGCGCGATGAGCTTCTGCAAAATATACAAAAAATAAAAAGAAACAGATATAATAACAGTATATAATTAATATTAATATTTAATATATTTATTAATAGTGAATATAATAAAATAAAGATTTCATATATTTATTATATTATATTTAATCAAACTATTTTTATTAGCGGTATTTAAGTGATTTTGCGTTGATTAAAATTAGTTTAAAAAATATATAAAAACGAAAGACATATAATAAATACATAATTAATATAAATATTTTATATATAATAATATTAAATATAATAATATGAATATTTAATTTATAAGAATAATAAATATACAAATATATACATTTTTAATGTATAATATTTAATGTAAGTGTTAAAAATATTTTTAAAAAAGAAAGAAATATAATAAATATATAATAATAAATATAATAATAATAAATACATTATAAATAATATAAATATTTATTGAATAAAAATAATAAATATAATAAAATAAATATTTAATTTAAATATTTATTTAAACTATTATTACAAACAAAATTTAAGTTAGTTGAGTTGATTAAAGTTAGTATACAAAATATTTATAAAAAAGAAAGATATATTAATTGCATAAATTAATTAATTAAAATAAATAATATTTATATAATAATAATATTTAATATATAATATTAGCGTTGATTTTGCGTTGATTTACTTAGTGCAAAAAAATATAGATATAATAAATACATAAGTACATAATTAATATAAATATTTATTGAATAATAATAATAAATATAATAATTTAAATATTTAAAATATAATATTTAATGAAACAACTATTATAAACAACATGAAAGTGGGTTTACTTTCATTAAAGTTGGTTTATAAAAGGGGGAAAATAAATGAACAGCTTTAAACATATTATTTTATATTATTTTTCCAGCTAAACCTTTTACTTTTAAGTAGCTTTTTTAAGAAAATGTCCTATAATTATGTTCATTCCAATCTCTTTTAGTTTAATGGGTCTTTAAACTTTCCTTTCTTGTAAGAATTTACTAAAAAAAATCAGGTCAAATTCATGAGGTAAAATTCTGGCCAAGTCTCAACTCTTACTTGAAACATGAATAACTAAAATAATATTATATTATACCCTCCATAATCCTCTGATGATTAACCATATATTTACCCCATTGCCTACTTTGCAGCTCCTCAATCTGTTGGTCCTCATCTGGGGCCATCTCCACGCCCGCCTCGCCAAAGACCGTTGCCCAGAAGCCCCTCTCGGAGCCACGCTCCGAACCCTGCTCCGAGCCGCTTTCCCCCGCCGATTCCTGGAGGTGAGACCTTTGCTTCGGCTGCGGCTTCGACGGCTTCGACACCGGATTGACCACCTTCAGTTGCAGCTCCGACTGCGACTTCTCCAGACTCTCCCGCTCGAGGGTCTCAACCATAACCCGGAAACGACTCAATTCCCTGCGCAATCCCTCGGCGCTGTGCCGGCTCGTCGAGGAGGCGGCAGAGAGTCCGGAGACGCCGGACAGGAGACGACACCGTGCAGCTCCGGAGGACGAAGACGATGGAAGACCTTCCCATTCGTCGCGTGAGGCATCGCTCTCGGACTTTTCAAAATAGCCAGACTCCACGTCCGGAGTGCGGACCATGGAAGTGGATGACAGCATATGGCCGTATTCCAGGAGATCCTGGGCGGAATAGAAGCACTCAATGGACTCCCGGACACTGTCGCGCAGCGATGATGGGCATTTCAACGGTTCCGGTTCCGTTTCCGTTTCCGGTTCGGGTTCCGGATCAGGACCAGCATCCTTTTCCGTTTCAATATCAATAACCGTTGCCTCGCCAACGTTTTGAATTCGAACGCTGTCATCGATTTCTTGTGGCACTTCTAAGGTTTCTGCTGCCTGAACCAAAAGCAATGGTGGCAGCTCCTCTTCCATACGAACTTGTGGTTTCTTCTGCGGCAGCAGAGACTCCTCTTCGGGCTCTTCCTCGTCATCGGCGGGAGAAGAATCCACCTCATCGTCATCATCATCGTCGTCGTCATGGAATGTCTTATCGTCGCTGCTCAGCAGACCCTCGTTGGGATCGCTGCTCTTCCCCCGATCCGAGTCCGTGTCGGAATCCATGCTTGGGAAAACAAAGACCACCACTCTTCAAATGCGAATGCCACACTAAACTGAACTGTAAGCGCGACTTTTGAGCTTTATAATATGCCCATATGGTTCTTTCGTTCCTTTCCTCTCACCGCCAATAAATCAATAAAGATTGACGCTTTTTAAACATTTTTTCTACAGTTGTCTAACCCCAGCAGAGGGAATAAGACCTCTTTGAAACTAGGAGCTATATACTATTATAAAAATATTAAAAAAGATAACCGTTTTACCCACTTTTTTCTGTAATGGTTCCTTTTCGATAACTCAGTTTATGCTAAGAATATTTGATTAAAAAAATGATTTTAGGTTTGGAAAAAATTCTAAAAATGATCACATAATCCCCTCCCTTAAAGTATATCTTTATACATATATATATATATACTTTTTTAGGTACCTCTCAGCCTGGTCCTCATTTTGGGTTCCACTTTTCAAGAGAGGTCTGACCCCTGACCCGGCACCATCCTGATTCGTTGATTGTCATGCGGTCGGCGTTTGCCAAAAAATTAAACACATAATTTATTATTATAATCGAGTCGCATTATGGCCCCGCACACACACACACACACACACACACTCGTGTTTATATAAATACATATATGTATGTGTGTGTGTTTGTGTGTTTGATGTCCCCTGATTTTGACCTTCACTCACCATTTTGCGAAGCTGCCTGCCCCCCTGCCGCCCTCCCCACTGCCATTTTTGGGACTTTTGTATGCTTTTATTTCCCTTTTTTTCGACATTTCTGTCTCTTTGGACGCAAAATTTGATTTGTATGACACATAATCGAATGACTTCTTTGTCTGCACCACTATGCTTCTTGTTTCTTTTCAAAAAAGGTTCGAATTTCTTACTTTCTGGCCTTGTCCTTCAAGAGAAACAAGCTGGCAGTCTAAGCAAACTCAGTAAATTGTTGAAAAAAATCGAATTTTTTTTAATATTTTTAAGCTTTGGCAGTTGAAAACATTAAATTAAAATTAATTGGAATCAAAAACTGTTACAAAATCTGAGATACAAATGGTTTACATCACATTTCCAAGCTTAAAAAAACGTATACCTTAAAATTCCCAAGTAAGAATTCGACGAGACTTAAAATTCCCTTAAAATTCCCAAGTAAGAATTCAGCGAGACTCAAAATTCCCAAGTAAGAATTCGGCGACACCTAAAATTCTCTTAAATTTCCCAAGTAAGTATTCGATGAGAGTTAAAATTTTCTTAAAATTCCCAAGTTAGAATTCGATGAGCACATAATTTTAGGCAATCTAAACCACTATTATATAGATAATTTTATTTTTATTCTTATATTTGTCATTATAATTATATTTATTATTATTTTTGTTGCATCATTATTTGTATAATTATTTTTGTCACATATTAATAGATCATTTTTTATTATTCATCATTATTATTATTATTATTTTTATCACTATTTTTGTTTCTACTAGGAGCACAAGCTGTAAAATAATTCCATAAAATGAAATGACATATGCTCCAGAGGCAAAAATATACATACACACAAACAGGACACATATATGGAGATGGATGTAGGATACAAAAACCGAAACAAAAATAAATAACTCTAGTGAAGTGAAATTAAAGTGCACTTTTCGCTTACCTTGCTTTTTCACTGGCATTCTGTGAGCGGTGTTTCTGCTACTACTATTTATGGCGGTGCTGGCGGTGGAAATGGCAGCGGAAATGGCGGTGGTGCTGCAGCTTTGAGAGTGGTTCAATGCCGCCGAACTCGAAAAGGCGTAGGTCGCAATTTTGACAGTTTACTGGCGTCGCTTTTCGAGTTGAAAATTGTATTTTTATATATTTTTTTTTTTTTGAGTTTTGGTTTTGTCAAAATATACCTAGGCTTTGTTTTTGCGCAATTCTGCAGGCACATATACACATGTACGGATGTTTAAATATATTTTACAAATATATATATACATATATCTATATATTGTATATATTGCATTTATTTACAAATATATAGTTGTTTTTTGGCTTTCAAACGAAGTTGGAGATTTTTGTTGGTTGTGTTTTGCGCATTTAGTTCTTTTATTTTGTATTTTTGTGTTTATTTTTTATGTTTATTTTGTATTTCTGTTGGTTTTCGGGGCAGTTGTGGTTACATTGACGTGTGCGTTACGATTTCCTTTCAATTTTTCACATCTCAGTGGCCGTGGCTTCTGCTGGGTCTTTTTCTGCTTTCGGTTCTGTAGCACTGCACTTGAAATTTTTGTATTATCATCGATATATGTACATACATATATGGTATGTAGATCGCTCTCTTTTCCCTTATTTTTATTCTATATTTTTCATTTTATGTCTCTTTCAACACACTGGCACAGCACAACAACAATAACAAAACAATAAAATATTACTCTCAGATCGATTATTTCCTTTTGATTGCATTTGATTAATCTAGTTCTTTTTTTGTATTTTCCAGCCACCAATCTAGAAGGCGAAAAATAGAGTAAGGTGAGCACCTTTCGGCTTCATTGATCAAAAATCAACTTTTGTTGTATAATCATAAAAAAATATATATGTACAAATATATATATTTAATGCATAAACACACAGCCAAAGAGAGAGATAGAGAGAGAGAGAGATAGAGAAAGCGAGAGACACGACACGCGCAGCTTAATACGCTTCCGATTGCATTCGCCAACGAATATTATTACAGTGGACACTGGCTAACATTGACAAGGTATTTTAATTTAGATAATAGTATTGCTTAGAAAAATCCCTAATATAAAATCCTAATATAATTTATATCAGCTTGATGAAAAATATTAGATTTTTATTTTCAACAACTCCTTTACAATTTGTTTTCTTCATAAGGAATTTATTCAAAAATAAATAAAAATATTGCAAAACTAATTTTTAACCAAAAACAAGAGATACAAAATTATAAAACCGCATTGAAATACATTTAAATAAAGTTGATCTAACCTGAAAACATTTTAAAAATATCCTTAATATCCATAAGGAATTTGTTTTGAATAAATTATTTAAGCAATTGCAAAACTCTTGTAAAAACAGAAAATTAATATTAAAAAACTGATGAAAATATTTTATACAAAAAATACTTTTAACGATATTTTAAGTGGTCTGAAATTTGATTAGCAAAATATATTTATATTTTTCATTAGTTTCTTCACTTACAAAAATATTTAAAAAATAGTTAAATCCTTTAAAAGCCTCTGTAATCCTCTGTAAACTTTGGTTTACATTTCACTTTGTTTATAATTATTTTGCAAGACTTTTTACCTATTTTTTTTAAATTAAGAAATCATTTTACATTTTAATTTTGTATTTTGTATTTGAAAATATACATATTTTTTGGGACTCAAATTTTATTCCAAATAAATTTAGATTCATTTTGTCGCATTTCTTTCTCTCAAGTGGCAACCGTATTTATTTTTTTAATTTTTTTTTTTTTTTTTACTTTTTCTCAGACACAGCGCACTCATATTTTAGGAAGCAAAAAAATTAAAATGAAACAAATAGCGGCGATTTCGAAATTCTCGCATCGTCTCGTCGCCCCGAATTGTTGTTTTGTTTCTGTTTCTGTTTTTCTTTCGTCTTGCGATCGCCATTGTCGAGCTGATTTTATTTACATATTTTTTTCGCCCCCTCCCCAGGTTTTTTTTTGCTATTTCAGCAAATTGTTGCAGCTTTATTGTTGCTCTAGTTAACAAAAAAAAAAAAGGAGTAGAAGTCACTCGCACACACACAGACAACGAAAAAAAAGAAGAGTGAAAAAGGTGAAATGTCAAAGTTTGAAGCTATTCTTGTTGTTGGTCTTTTAACTTGTTACATTGGGTCGCCGCCAGTTCGAAAAACCGAAAATCCGAATATACGAAATTCGAAATTTCCGCACACCCGCACCGCACACAGACACACGTCCAACTGAGGCAATAACGGTGCCTCTGCTTTTGGCCCTCTGTCTGTGTCCGCCTGGCCAACAGCTCTCTCCTCTCTCCTCTCGCCTCTCGACCCTCTCGACCCTCTCTCCCGACCGAACCGAGCGATGATTCTCAGTCGTCGGTTGTGCCCGTCCAACAATTAATGTTTGCATATATGTACATATATAGGTACATATGCCGCCTGTATAGGATGTATCTGGTTGGGTCGCTCCCTTTCGACAGTTGCCCCAGTCCCCGGCATTAGAGCAAATAGTAGGAAATAAATAAATAGTTTAGTTCAATACATTTTTATACCCAGAACCCAATTAATTAATACTTTAGAATATGAAGATATTAAATTTAAACCATTATTTATACAAATATTTAGAAATTATTTACAATTAAATCAATTTAAAATAATTTTGTTTGTTTTCCTAAGCTAAGTTCAATAATTAATAAACAAAAAACTATGATGACTATTTGTTTATTTCCATGAATACCAAACAAATGCAATGTTATTAAACTTTAGACCGTTTTTGTTTATGGAAAAAGGAATAAACAAATCGAACAATACATTACGAGTTGGGGTAGTCTCAAAAATGGAAAAGGAAGTCAAATATTTTGAAGAAATCAGTTTGGGAATATTAAATTGAGTTTGGTAAATAATACAATTTTGTAAATAATGTAATGAAAAACTAAAAATATCCATAATTAAACCGAGGTTAATATTTTTTTATAATAGAAAATTTCATCAGGAATATATCCCTTGTAACCTATATAGTTCCTTCCCAGGATTTATTACATAAAAAATAAGGCCAATTGCGGTTTAAATTGATCCATTAGCCTGGATTCTTCAAATTTTGTTTGTTTGGAATTGAATTATTACATAAATTGCTCTGTGCAACAAAGGGAAATTGTCGAGAGGGACCTTTTCCAGACAGACAGGACGAGAATCCTTGCACACACACACTCACTCACTCACTCTTTCTAATGTTGTCTCCGCGAATTAAATGAAAAAACAATCGAAGAAAAATGCAGAACGACTCGAAACTAGAAAAGAACCCGCATCAAAAACAACAACAACAACAATAACATACATAATAAAAATAATAATAATAATAATAACAGTAACAGGGGCAACGGTAACGATGGCCGTGGCGGGTTCAATCACCTTTGGGAATTGCGTACCGCTTATTATTATGGTTATTATTGTTATTATCTGCCCCCTCCGCACTATTTTCTGTGGTGGGTCGAGTTGGATTTCTATACGTTCAATTTATGTGCGTCATTTGTTTCCTATTTTTAATGTCTTTCAGGCGCTGAAAGCACTTTTCCCTGGTTTTATTTTATTTTTTCTCGGGCGCACACACGTCGTATAATTGATATGCACACACATAGAGCGAGAGAGAAAGAGAGAGAGAAAGAGCAATACTCACACGCACGCACCTGGGCTCACACATCCACACATCTGGGCACAATTATATAGCCTATTTTCGTGTCATATAAGAAAAATTTAAAAACTAAATATTTATAATATAAAATTAAATATTAATATTATTGAACGTATTAAAGGGGCTTTTATATATGTAAATATATTTAATTCATATTCTAAGATCAGGAAATACATATATACTTTAAAACACCTAACAAGTTAGGAATATCAAGCGGAAATCAAATATACAAATACAAAGGATCCAATACAGGATAAAAGTCTTCTTTCAGATAAACCTCTTTTTTATCAGATCGTTTGCTATCTTCTGTAAATTATATAAAACAAACAAAAAATATACATTTTGAACGTTTTAACTTGGCGATCACTGTTCATGTGCACCAGGACCCTACATACACACACACACGTGTATGACTGCTGCAGGCGCGAACGCAGAAAAGTATGCAGCGGGAGAGGAGATGAGACAGCAGCATATGCAATAAACACTCAATTCCACACACTCGCACGCACACACACGCACTGGCAGCGAGATATTAACCGTTGCGGATTGACGTTTCGCCTGGCCTGGACTTCTGACCTTGACATGTCGCCTCTATGCGCTCCCGCTAGATGTTCTTGTTGTTGTTGTCGTAGTTGTAGTTGTAGTTGTCGTTGCCGTTGCCGTTGTCGCTTTAGTTGTACAGTTAGTGGGGATCCGGAGTGCGAGTATGTGTGTGTGTGTGTTAAATGAGGGGAAAAACGTTTGGAAAGCCGAAAAAAGAGAGAAAGCGGCCAAAGAGAACTGGGGCGCCAGATACGCGGTGATTAATTATTCAGCCGCAGCATAATTATTATGTGTGCGTGTTATTTATAGACTAACCGAAAAAAATAACAACAAAAAAACAGATACTACAATAAAATAACACACATACACACACACACTCTAAATGTATGCAAAGAGCCAGAGAGAGCCTAAGAGAGCGAGCCAAACACAAGGAGTGAGAGCGAGCGGAAAGAGCATTTTAAACTTATTAATACAAAAATTTGCACACAAACACACACAGTGACAGATAGGGATGCTGCATATATACATATATATGCTCCAAGCACACACACACAAATGCAACCCACTGCAACTGCAACTGCAGTGTCAATACACGCAAAAAAAAAACATATATATCAGCTGGAACACACACACGTGCCGTTTTTCCTGTACTTTCTTTATATCATCTGTAACAACAACAACAACACTGTCAGGCACAACATCCCTTGCATACACACACGCACGCACACACACACACACACACACACACAGGAAAAAAAGGACCACAAAAAAGAAGAGCAGAAAAAGAGGTAAATTCTCATTTTTTCTTGTTATATCCCAGCCGCAAATCAAGGAAAGGTAACCTCGACTGGTTTTCCCACATCCTTTTTGTGCTAAACTTTACTTGACTCCTGCTTTTGCCTTTCTTTTTTCGTTATTTTTTTCTTTTTTCTTTTATTTTGCACCGACCGGAGACCGTGTATATATTTTTAACGTTTCGCACACACACACACACACACACTCAGGACACCAAAAAGGACATGCGTTTGGCACAGCCTTCGGGCATTTTGTGTTTAATATAAATAATTAGCGGCCTCGTTTCGCGTGGAGAGCACGTTGGCGAGAAGCGATTTACAATATATTACGGTTTTCTGGCTCTGCTCACGGGAATAAAATAAGGCAGCACTAGTTCTAGTTGGAACAGTGTTACCAGCCGCCCAGCCAATTGGAATCTCACCCCCGATTCTTGCCGCCACCCGGCAATTTCAAATTGGCGGCGGCAAGAGAATTAAATATATATATACCTTCATATATATATATTCGGAATCCAATACATAGGTAAATGAAACAGATAAGGCTTTGCATTTATTTTATTTCTCCTTTTATTTAATTTTTATCGAGGTAAACGATAAACGATAGCCAGTTTTATCGAACCACTGATGAACTAGAGATGAGCCACTGATGAACTCTGGTTCTGTCTCTTAACGATATTTATTATCAGGGTATTCTGTTTTAAAAATACATCATTTAAAAAAAAGAGGATTTCAATTTACATATAATTTAATTTTTAATTTAAATTTTAGATTGGCCCAAATACATGTAGAAATACAAGTCACGAGTCCTAAAGTAATCTCCCAAATCCGCATATTCATAGAAGTCCCATAAAAAGTTTGGTTACATTACAGTTGTTAGGGTTCGCAGGCTTCTTGAAATCCCCCATATTCTCTTTCCCCAATATTCCTTATTTTATGTTGGTTTCGGTACCCTTTTTTGTGCCTTTTTAGGCGATCTTTTCTTTTTTGGCAACTTCTTAGGAGACTTTTTCGTTGCCCTTTTTTTCCCTTTTTCGGCTATCTTCTTGATTGTTTTTGTTGCCCGTTTTTTTGTTGCTTGTTTTCTTTTACGTGCAGCGGCGATGGAGATACGAGGTATAGTTACCTTTTTCTGCACCTGACTTTCCTCTTTTTGGGGTATTTCCTCCGGATCAACATCATTGAGGTACTTTGAAGTTCTATGATCAAGTTTAAATTATTTAATATTTAGTTTCAGTACTTACCGGAATAAGATTACGGAAATAATTAGGAATTACATTGAGATCGAGACTTGGATTTTTGGGATCTTCATTTTTTTCTGCTTTATTACCATTAGGATCGAGGGGAGGTACTTGAATGACGTTGGGCTTCGCTTCCTTTGGCCCTTCAAACGTAGATTTCTCCACAAACATCTCCTTTTGCGAAGGGTTCAGCCTGCCCCACGCATTGATTCCTTTCCAGTTTAAGTCTTCTCGTTCCATGCCGGGATGCACTTTAATGTACTCCCGCAGAAACAATCTGAAGGCCTTTTTTTCGCCCTCCCCCATTGGTACTGGAAAATCAACAGTAATAATTTAAAAAGGAAATTTAAAATAACTTACAAATTTTGTACAAACTTTCAAAAACAAGTTATTCGCTTTACGCTTCTTATAAGATTTGAAAATTTTCGAATTATTATTTTACTGACCGTACTGTCTTGATTGTGAATGAATACTGACGAAACGTATATGAATGCCGACGTAGATGACTTGTGACAGTAATGTCAGGTACTACTAGGATCTCAGCTTTTTTGGACAAATAGCCATGGCATACTACGAATTTTGTTTATTTTGGCTTAAGGGGTTATATACAGTTGTGATAGTCGAAAAAGTCGATTTTTTTTATTGCTTATTCTTAAAGTATATACTGTTGAGAATACTCTCACAAAAATTCATAACGATCGGAGCATTAGAACCGAAGTTGTAGCTATTTATAGCGCCCGACATGCACGGCGGCCAGAACAAACTTGAAACTTTAAACGCGATTATCTCAGAATCGTTTTTTTCGAAGTTACCTTTGCGGTGGACACGATTACTAAAAAACTATTAATCCGATCAACACCAAATTTTGACCACTTATTTATTATCTCAAAAACTAGTCCGTGAACGAAGGATTTGTAAGAATTTTGATTAAAAAAAAAATGGCGACGATTTTAACAAAAAATGTCCTTTTTAAGGGGTAAAATTTTCCGTTTTAATGCTCTAAAAAAGGAAGTTTTCAAAAAAATTAAAAATCCTTCGTTCACGGACTAGTTTTTGAGATAATAAATAAGTGGTCAAAATTTGGTGTTGATCGGATTAATAGTTTTTTAGTAATCGTGTCCACCGCAAAGGTAACTTCGAAAAAACGATTCTGAGATAATCGCGTTTAAAGTTTCAAGTTTGTTCTGGCCGCCGTGCATGTCGTGCGCTATAAATAGCTACAACTTCGGTTGTAATGCTCCGATCGTTATAAATATTTGTGAGAGTATTCTCAACAGTATATACTTTAAGAATATGCAATAAAAAAAAAATCGACTTTTTCGACTATCACAACTGTATATAACCCCTTAAAAAGGTTATAATTTATATAATGTTAGCTCAGTTTAAGAGGTGATTGACTTTCCCAAGGATATTTTGTATAATTTACTCTAATCTTTAAACTGAATTATTCAAATGCAAATAAAAAACGTTAGTTAAAAACATATCTTGCCTCAAAATAAAATATTTTAACTGTTAAATTCCCTCCACTAAAAGTTCTTTGTAGCTTATAAACTAATAAAATAATCACGGAGCCTGCACTGTAATTAATTTACTGCTATTTTAACAAACAGTTTTGGAATATTTCAAGGTAATATAGGGCAAAAAACCACATTCTTGGATAACATACAACGCAAATTGAATTTATTTTTTGTATTTTTCAGAGTGTCGGTGCCGTTGAAACGTTAGAAATATGTTACAGGGACTTTCAATTCCTCCGGCACTGGTGCTAGCACCCCGCACACTCCTTGGTCCCGGATGTGGCGGCAGCAGGCGGTTAATGGAAACTCTGCTCCTTCTGTCCGGGCACATGGCAGGTGGCGAGGCTTGGAGATTGCACGTCACGACAAAAAAAAATATGTGTGTGTGGGCTTACATGATAAATTTAGTGTTTAAGAATAGATTTAACAGTAGGACTGCTGTGGAGGAAGCCCCATGGGTTCCTGGCACACCTGGCTCTCCCGGAATCCCTACTATTCGCCGACGTGCTTCTGGAGCATCTGGGCGAAGCGCTGGGTAATGAGCAGCGAGGTGTCAATGAAGCGGTCCACGCAATTGCTCAGGCATGTCTCGGTGGCGCTGTCCAGCTTGTTGCTCGGTTTCCCGATGCACTTTTCCCAGCAGATCTCGTTGAATTCGTGAATCTGTGCACAAAGTGCGATTGTTATTATTTTGGGTGGCGGAGGATTCTTGGCGAAGTGGAATTTACCTGAGCATTGACCTGTGCCTTCTGTTTCTCGATCATGAGGAACTCCTGCAGCTCCTTGTCGCTGCCGGCCAGGTTCTCGAACTCGGACATGGTGATTTTTATTGAACAATCTTGGCGAATACAAAGGAATTGGATACTTTTGTAATATTATGTTTGAGGTTATATAAAGGCGGAGAGGCAGTGCCAGCTGTCGGCGTAAGTGTGACCAGAGCCTGTTGATAAATACCAAACGTTAGAATCTACTGAAAAACTGGGTATTTTCATTTATTCGTTAATAGGGTCTTCCCACACAGCGTTAAAGCGCATGTAGCATCCGTTGAACAAATGCTCCATAAGGTTTTGCCGTTCCGAATTTTCCCAAATGGCCCGGCGTTAGTTCAGCATTAAAATCTAACCACGGTTTGTTTGGCGATAGTTAGGCGATAGTTCTTCGGTGCAACTCTGATTCTTCTTCTTAATTTGACCAACACTACGAAAGTGTATACACACTTGGCGAGAAACAAATGAGATATGGAATTTAAAACGTGGCGCCAAAGCTACAAGCATGCGCAAAATAGATGTTGGCGTTTTTTCTGTATATTCTTACCCCAATATGTCCCCAATTGTTACTATTTAATATAAACCGCCTACCTCTACCTTATTTTAAAGATTTTGGATGCCTATACCACCTATAGACACTCTTCGGGGAATTTGCTCTTTGTTAGAGAAAAATCATTAGAAAAACTAAAATTCCTTGTCATTTAATACATTTAAATTTATTGCGGATAAATTCTGACGCAATCTGTGCCTTTTGCTGTTGTACAACAGCCAAAATAGTTGGTAAATGCTCCATTTCAAATTTGCAACTGCCAATTCGACAGCCTTTGTTTACGTTTTCATGAGCCACAGCTGATCGATCAGCTGTTCGGATGCTAAATGCTCTTTAATGTTGTGTGGGAACACGAGTTTCACATTTGTGAAAAATCCCAAACGTTCCTCACAAATGCGCTGTGTGGGAAGACCGTATAAGTTTAGCTAGTTTAGTTGATAAATACTAAACTGCTTAATATACTGAAAACGGAGTATTTTTATTTATTCGTTCAGTTAAGCGGGCTTTTTGAATAAATTAAATAAAAACGTGTGCGTTTAATTAAAATGTTGTGTAACAATGAAGGTTCCCTTGCAAATGAAAGTCGTTTGTGAATCAAATGCTCAAGTGGAACTAGTTCCAAAATCCACCAAAGAAAATAACGATTTCAAGAACGTCCCCTTAAAATTAATATATAAAAATAAAATAAATAAGTAACTAAGGTATATGTATATTAAATACAAAATACATATTTTTGTTTTTAATAGACTTGTTATATTTTACTAACTAAGGAGTTTTGGGCAAAGAGCTAAAAAGTTTGTTTACGGCTTATGATTTCTTAGCAGGAACAATTCGCTATATTTCAGCTGTCAATGAACCATGGCACTGCGTCCGTTGTCCACCTCCACCTCCTCGTGGTCCGCATTGTCACGTTCGATCTTATTGCGCCTCCTGAACTTGACGATGAGCACCTCGATGACCCAGGGAACGGCGCACAGGATCATAAAGGCATTGAGAATGTGAAAGACCAGGATATAGTTCTGGGTCTTGTCACGAATAATGCCCACAATGGGGCCAATTAGGAACATGGCATTGCCCTGGGTGAACATGAACAGGCCGTAACCGGTGGCGAATCTATAGAAATATTTTAAAAATTAATATTATAACTTTAATGGTTCAGAGAACTTGTGTACCTCTCCTTGGGCAGATAGTCTGCAAAGACCAATGGCAGTGGGACATGGAGCCAGGTGCGCAGGAATCCGATTACAGCCGTGATGCAGGCCATTCCCACAAACTCGGTGATGCCATTGAAAACTAAGGGAATCAAAAAATATGACAATATTTAGTAAACCAATCCAGGAACAACTGGTGTTATTGACCAACCAAATCTGGCAAAGACCGTAAAGACCGCTCCGGCCAGGTAAATGTAGCGTGACGGAACTTGGATGCACACGGCGGTGACGGCCAGGAATATGCGGGATGTCAAGTCGGCGGCGGCTCCAATGGCTATGATGGTGGCAGTGTCCACCTAAATAAGAACGAAACATGTTTAAGCATGTCCAATTTGTAACATTTTTTTGTATGCTAATTATGCATATTCCTTATAAAATATTAAGGAATAACTTTTCTTTATGATATCTCCACATTTTGCTTAATAACCTAGCATAATTCCTTAAAGCTTTTAATGAATAATTTGCAATGAAAAATAACTTTTCTATTCATCGTTGTATTGGTAGAATGAACGCCTTTGTTGCTTCTAATTCGTGAATGGCCAGTGCCTTGCACCAATTAGAGCGAAATAGCTATAGCGAAGCAGGCTGAGCATTCGTGAGGCATTCGTTTTTCTAGTATAAACGTGTGCGTTAGAATGCGATAGCTATATATCACAGTTCTCGCGATTCCTTTTTGACGCATCGTTCGTTCGGCGTCGCTGCGCAAGCTCAGTGAAAATTTTTGGCAGTTCAAATTGACTCTCAAAGTGAATAGTCGGAATTTTTTGTATTTTTTTATAAGTGAACAAATTGGTTTGTAAAATTGTTAATAATATTGACAATATAAGCAAATCATTAAAAGTGGCTCTCAATTTAAAGGAAACTAAAGAAAAGATGGGAAATTAATTGGTTATCTGGAAAAAATTCAGTTAAAAATGAATTCTCAAAGTAAACGGGCGCCATTTTTTTTAAGTGAAAGAATTTGCGGCTGAAAATATTATGTCATTAAAATTAAAACTAAGGTAAACTATATTAAATAAAAAATATATTACTAATACAAATAAAACATGGCCGAAATTGCCGAAAGCTAAACGCAGACATAAATTTTCGTAATTTTTTTGTGTGAAAGAAATTGCTGTTGAAAATATTAGTTTTAGAAAAAAAACTAAGAAGTCTCCAAAACTGGATACGTTTTTTTCTAAATTAAACTAGAATATTTTAAATAGTACATTTACATATAAAACATGGCGGAAATCACCAGCAGCCACTTAGCCATTTTTTTTATGAAAGAATTTGCGGTTGAAAATTTTAGTTTTTAAAATAAAAACTAAGAAGTCCACAAAACTGAATCGTTTTTTTTTTTAAGTTAAACTCAAATTTTATATAAAATACCCGTAAAAATACACATAAAACACGACAGAAACTGAAGCCAAAAGCGGAAAAACATTTTTCTTGGAAAAAAGTGTGTGCTAGAAAGGGATAACAAGTGACGCTGCGCATGCGCAAGCTTTGTTAAAAAATGTGGAGTCACGTGAAAGAACATGTTTTTTTCTATTTTTTAAGTGAATAATTTCGTTGTTTCTTCTTTTTTTTCGAAATTAAATGAAGTGAAAATTAATTAATTTTAAATTTTATATTCCCTTACCTTGCTGTAGCCCAGCTCGAACAAGTAGACCGGCTGCATGGTGAAGAAGGTGATGTCGGAGTACAGGGCAAAGGTGATGCCTAGCACGATGTTCACATAGACGGGCTTCTTGAGTAGCGTCAGATCGAGAAAGTCGACGACCCTGCGCACCCAGTCCTTCTTGACGGCATCAGGAGCCTCCTGTACGGCTCCGCCTGCTCCCGCTGCCAACATGGAGGTGCGACGTGAGGCCTGCCGGCTGTGCGTCATTTGTGGGGACGCGTCACTGACCACCACCGGGCCAGACCAGTTGCCCAGGCTGGTAATGCTCGAGGCCCGACTGGAGTGCACCCTTAGCATGTGCTCCTCGGCGTGGGAGAGGCGTCGAGCGCTGGCAGCGGTGGCCGGGGGATCGGCGGCAGGTGTGGCCAGAAATATTGGCTCCTCTTTGGATGGCTTCAGCGGCGTCTCTGGCTGCACGCGCACCACCACTGTTGTAGGTTTCACCGCCACCGCCACCGGCAGCTCCTGCAGTGGCACTAGTTCCTCCGCCGCCTCCTCCGGGGATATGGGCACCCGGCGCATGTGCCACTCGACGGGATGCATCACCAGCATCCCAAGCACCGCATGGGCATTGATGCCTGTGAGGATGAGCAGGCAACCTCGGAATCCATACCAATGCAGCAGCTTCTGCATAACAATGGGGTAAAGCATCGAACCCAAGCCGATCAGGGTCTGGGCGAAGCTCATCCACATCACGCGGTTCTTTACGAAATAATGATTGAAGGTCGTATAGCAGGTGGGCACCATCAGGCCGAAGGCCAGACCCTGGATGAGGCTGAAGGCCAGCAGCAAGTGCAGCGTGGAGGTGGCAAACAGCTGCAGTCCGGTGCCCAGGAAGTACAGTGTGCCCCCGACAACCCCCACCTGCCGCATTCCGAATCGCTGGAACAGGGAGCCCGAGAACAGCCCCGCAAAGCTCATCGATGAGAAGAAGGCGCTGGTTATAATGGCCATGGCACTCGTCTCCGCACCAATGCTCTTGAGGAAGTCTCCGAAGACGAGGCCAAACGAGGGCAGAGCCGCCAGAGCGCTGGTCTGTAGAAGGGGAAAGGTATGGTGTTTGAGATCGGGTGAGTTATATTCGATTTAAATAATTTGTAAGATATAATAATATTTAAGATATATCTTGAGGCCTTAATTTGGCATAAAATTATTTTAATTTAAGGAAATATTAAAAAATGACGGTTGAAAAGAGTTGAAACTATGCTTGAATTGCTTTAAAGAAGTAAATTATTAAAGATTTTATTTTGAAACTTAAATAAGAATGAAAATTTAAAAATGCAAATTCTTAGGATTTTTTAAACACTTCAACTTGAGTAAACCACGTATAAGCCACTTAAAAAAATAGGTATATAATTATTTATCTTTGAAAAAAAAAAAACAAAAAATGCACTTACAAAGGGCAGGGCCATGCCAATGCAGACAAGGATACCCCAGCCGCCATCGGGGGCCTCCAGCCTATAGGCCTTGTTGTTGCTGCTGCTGCTCTTCTTCATCTGGATGCTGCTCCGCGGGCTGATGGGCGGCAAGTGATTGCCACTGCCTCTGGCATCATTCTAGGGCACATCCCAGAAGTAGGTAGTCTCTATCTGTATTTGCCAAGATATCAATCTTCCAGTAGCCGCCTCCTCGATTGCCCGCTTATCGCACCTCGGGGTCTCTTTTATGGCCAAGCTAAGCTTCTTATGGCGAAGGTTTACGAACTGGCTTAGTGGCATCTAAACGGTTGATAAGATTAGGATAGATATGTGGCTCCTTGCAGTGCACTTGTATGCCTTTGACGGAAGCATTGCTACCTTTCCAAAATTCCATTTGTAATTGTAATATTACAATTTCAAATAACGGAAATAATTTCGAGCTATGTCTTTTTTGCTTTTTGGATCTTTATCATTTACGCTGTTTCCATATCGAAATACAAGGTGCCGCTGATAAGAATTCTCCCAGAACTGGCAGTAGAACAACTAATTCCCTAGGCAGTGGGTCTTCTCTGTAGATTTACAGCATCAGGGGATTTCATGTGCATAATTTATACAAACTTAAATTTATTCTTCACGCATTACATTTGTTTGCACGCATGTGCGAGGCTCTTCTGCCCTCAACTCTATCCTATAAATGACTTCCAAACGGAATGTTTACCCTCTGCCGCGATAATTATGATAATGAATGGCTATAATCGAGTGGGTTTTAACTGGAACTCGGGGTGATTTCATAGTAAGTAGGAGCAGGTGATGATGATGATGCTGGCTGGCTACAGAAATGTGAAAGTGATAAAGGCGGTCCAGAGATAAGGTTGAGGAATTTGTAACATTCAAAGGTGTGGCTTTCATAGTTTTAAATACAAAGAAAGGGCGGTAATAATGTAATAATAAGAAATTATAAAACAAATTTAAAATAAGGAAAAATATGAATAACAAGGTAGGGAAATATATGTATTAAAGATTATCTCTAGAGTTCAAAATGCATATTGATAAAATAAATCTCTATAATATATAGACATAAATATTTCAAGCAAAATCATATTAATAAAATCATAAACTTTCGATTTACTTTGTTTAAAAAAAAAAATATTTCTATAAATATTAAAATTAATTAAATATATATATATATTAAATAAATATATATATATTTTTTTTATATTTAATTTATTTGCTACATTTCTTGATCGATTATGTCGATTTATATATCGATTTTCACGTCAAACTTGGTTACAATACCAATACATCGATATTTCTGCTATTATTATTATTTCAGAGTGCAAAAAATATATATCTGAAATAACGATCATGTATAGTTTTATATTTTTAATTTAATTGCTACTTTTCTTGATCGATTATGTCGATTTATAAATCGATTTTCACGTCAAACTACAATACCTGTATATCGATATTTCTGCTATTATCATTATTTTAGAGCGCACAAAATATATATCTGGAAAGGCTATCATAAATCGACAAAACTTTTGCCTCCAATATTTAATTAATTATTTATTTAACTAATTTATTTATTAAAAAAGTTATTCCTAAGGCTACAAGAAGAAAACTCATATTGAAAAATAAAGTCAACGTTGATATATAGAAATGAATAATATATAGAAATAATGAAAAATAATAAAAAAAACTGGTTGAAAAAATCATAAAATTTATATAGAAATATTAAATATCAAAAATGATTGAATTTAACTTTAAAATATCAATATTAAACAACTTAACAACTAAATATAATTTATTTGCTTATTTATTCGATTTTATTGTTCAGATATATCAAAGAGAATAACGACTTATCAAATGGCAACGTTAAATTATATATCGATTATAGATGTATATATATCGAAATATAAATATAAACTTTTAAAGCGATCTATTCCCCATATTTCCCAGCATACCTTCTTAGTTATATTATATCAGCGCCATAATATATATATATATATTCCAAAAGTTTTATCTCAGAACTAACCCAGTTCATGAGCCCTTATTAAATGATTTACACTACCCCTTTAGATCTCATCACTTTATTCTCTACGTTCAATATACATAATAGATTCGTACATATATCATTTAATAGGACTACAATATCGGGGCAATACGCATTTCCCAAAGTCTGCTTGTATCAAAACCTCTCGTCTCGCACAAAAATCTACCCAAAATATGACTTTAAAGTTAAATATATAATAATGGTTTGTGTATATGGTATATATGTATATCCGAATGGCGTTACCTCGATCATTGTCCTTATGCTGGCTGGCAATCGACTCCTCTGCTACTCAGGCCCAAAAGTGTGCTACGCAAAGTTAGCTTGGTTTTTCGTTTGCTTTTATTGCTTATCGGTTGGGTTTAGTTGCGTTTTAGGCTAAATTATCTTACAGATTACAGTTTAGTTTTGTTTTTTACACAGACGTCTATGTTTAAGGCCTTCTGTAGTGCTATCCTCCAAAGGATCAGGACATGGAACCCTCGAATTGTAAATATATATATATAAATATATATGTTGTGGCATATGATTGGCTAAGGATAAGTCCTAGCTCTGTTTGCCTAAAGGAGGCCTAAAGGAGCTCATCCCCTTCGATATACGCTCATCGCTCTCTCAATCCTTTGAATATATATATATTTATTCAGTTCAATTAACGCACTTGGGCAGCTCTATACATCGTCTCCTACAATATAGTTGTATAAAATTGGTACACAGCTACAACTGGTCCCTGCTACACAAGTATATATATCAGGGCACGTGTAATAATTACAAGTGAAAAAATAAAAATCAATGTTAATGATTGATTATCTATTGATTTCCCTGATGTATATATATATGTATGGGGTCTTGTATAAAGTACATATAATATGATATATATAATATTTATATGTTTATGTTTAGTTTAGTTTGTTTCTTGTTATTCTCGTCTGTGTTTGTCGTTGCTTAAACATCGCTCTTAAGGTACATTTTAAAGCCGATCAATCGATTTCCAACAGTAGTTTTCCCCCTCATATCATCAGTAGTTCCACAAGTATAGTCGATAATTGCCTAAATCTAAATTATAAACTATCTTTGAACTATCACATACAAGTTCACTAATATAAAAACCAACATGGGGAACATTATTATTTCAAAGCAAAGGTAGAATTTTGTTAAGATAAAATTGTGAACTTAGATTAATGCATTATTTTGTGGCTAAATCTCTTGACAAATCCGGCTCACATCTATGGTTACGTGTGTGGTATATGGAGTGTGTCTCTGTCTGATGGTGGTGTCTCTCCAAGACCCTAAACCTAAGACTAAACATTTAAAAAAAAAAAAAAAAAAAAAGATAGAGCACTGTTAAGATTTAACTAAAATTGGGTTTTAATACATATGTTGGGGTTGTGTTTTTAGAGTTTCACAAGCTGTTTGCGTCCCTCTAGGTATAATTAAAGTTGTGTCCTCCTTAAAGTAGATCTCTCTGTCTAGTAAGTAGTCCATCTTCTTGTGTCCTGTCCTGGCCTTACAGCTTCACATCCTGCGTTGTCGCCGTCGTCGTCGTGGCTGTGGCATCCTGTGTGGGCAGCTGGGCAGCATCAGCAGTGCGGCGTCTCGAATGAATGTACTCAACCAGGTACTCAATGCCCCAGGCCAAGGCGCACAGCAATATGCAGACGCTCTGGGTGTGTATGCAGATGGGATAGCTGTCGGTCACGTCGCGGATGAGACCTGTAAGGAGGAGGAGGAGAAAGGAGATGTGAGGAGAAAAAATTGGAACTACCTATTATTACTGCCTTACCTATGAGCGGTCCAAAGGAGATCACAAACAGGGCCTTGCCCACCAGATGCCAGCCAAAGGCCGAGGGCAGCTTCTCCAGCGAGCAGTACTCGGACACGGTCAGGGTGAAGTTGCTCAAGGCGGAGCCGCGGAAGAAGCCGCAGATGGAAAGCCAAATCATCAACTGAGTCCAGTCTGTTTGCTCGGCCATAACTTGATAAAAAAAAAAAAAAAAGAAAAGCAAAACAAGTTAACATACAAAACATCAAAATCCCAATTCCTCTACTCACTTGATCGCGTCAAAGCCACAAAGATAATGGACACCAGGAAGATGGTGCGCTTCTTAATCGTGGTGCGATCAAAGATCGGCGGCAAAACTATACGGGCTGCAATGTCCGTAATGGCGGTGATGGACAAACAAAAGGCCACATCCGCCTTCTGGTAACCCAGATTGGCAAAAAAGAACGGCGTGACCATCTTGAAATTCATCTCGGCCACATAGAAAATGGATAGACCGAATAGCAGATTGAGGAACATCTTATCCTTGAGCATATCAATGTCCAGCAAGTCGGCAAAGCGACGCCAGAAGCCCGGCTTCTTGGCCTTCTTTCGTGCCTCCTCATCAATGACGGCAGCCGCCTCCGCCTGCTTGTCCAGCTCCGTGGGCTTCATTTTGATGAAGCTATCACGATGGCCGCCGAGGACAATGCTGCCCGTGGCGGTGCCCACGCGTCGCAGTTCGCGATCGTTCTGCTCGAATTCATCGTCACCGGTGTTGAGATGCACCTGGAGGATCGAGCCGGTGAAGTCCATGTAGGAGAGGTTCGAGGTGACCGAGGCCTTGCGGCAGCGCAGCTGCGTGGCATTAATCTCCGCCTGCGACGGATAGCCGCCCGATTCTCCGCCTGATCCGTGGGCAGCGGACTGCACCCCGGCCAGGGACATAATGCGGGGGAATGTCGGCCTCTTGGGCAGACCCAACCGAGAGCCGTTCATTGTGTTCATGGCCATTTCGGAATAGTTTTTGCGCATCTGGTGCGGATGATGTTTATGGAACAGCAGTGTGTTCATCTCAGGCAGGGCATCCTCCTCGTTGCCATCCTCTTTGATCACCTTGAACTCGGGCGCTCCGGTCGCAGTTGCTCCGCCACCTGCTCCGCCCACCGTCAGCTGGGGCTGCGGGGTGGGCAGGGCCGAGATGCACATCAGCTCCTCGTCGTCAAACTCCTCCTTCATGTGCCACTTCACCGGCTGCAGCAGCACCGATCCAACCGTGGCATTGAGGGCCACACCCGCCAGCAGCAGCACCGCCCCGCGGAAGTCGTATGCCTCCAGCAGGATCCTCACTAGCTGCGGCATAATCAGCATTCCCATGGCTGTTCCGGCCATCGATAGGCCCACCGCCTGGCCGCGCTTGTGCTTGAAGTAATGATTCAGGGCCACGAAGGCCGCCGAGGTGGACAGGCCCACGCCAATGCCATTGATCACCGAATATGTGCTCAGAATGTGGGCCATGCTGGTCGCCGGCGACGTCAGGGCCAGCCCCAGACCGCATAGCAGGGAGCCGGCAATGGCTACTTTGCGGTAGGAGAACTCCTTTAGCAGGGGACCCACAAACAGGCCAGAGAAGTTCATGCAGACGTCCAGCGCACTGATGATCACCGCCGCGCCCGTTGTGCCCACATTGAGATCCTTGAGTGTGTCACCAAAGAGCAGGCCAAAAGATGGCTCAATGGATCGGGTAGCGAGCTGCAAAAAGGGACCAAGAGGAGGGATTGTGATTAGTTAAATCTTAAAAAAAAATAAAATAATCGAATACCAGAAGCATAAGCAACCGTTTTCGCTTTCAAAAGTAAAGGAAAGAGCGGAAAAGGTTCTCTTTCTCTTCTCGTGTATTTGCTCTCAATTTGAATGGGAGAGAGTGCTCCCGTTCGCTACAGAGTGAAAATTTATTAGGCCAAGATTGCTGCTTTGCTTGATTATCATAAAGTAATATTATAGAAAAATATAATAATACACTCTAAAATATAGTAAGCAATCATTTAATTATTTAATCAATAACAATTTATTTAATTAATTAAGATAGCAATTTTGCGATAATTTATATATTTAATATTCAAATCAAAGTACATCAATTGACCTTTGGCTTACTTTGGCGCTCTGTCTACATCATATTTCAATAGATGTAGACAGTTTTCCAAAGTAAGGAAATTGTCACAGTGAAATCATAAAAGATACTTAATAATACATAAACTAATGTAAAATATTGTGATTTTTAGAGATTTTAATGATTTAAACCAAAGTGAATTAAAGTAAGATATCATTTCTTTTTTTTTTAACATTTACCAAGAAGTCATAATAACGAAAGTTAGTCTTTGTTATCAGTAAAATTAAAAAAAAAGATAATTAAATAATAATACAAATAAATAAACAAATAATATTATAAAAGTGAATCAAAGTAAATGACCGCTCAACCTTTTTTTGTCTTTCATGTAAATGATATTAAAAATAAATAAATATGCACATAGGTCAAAATAAGGAAAAGGGTCCACGTTATCATCACAAAGGGAAATTTTAAAAGAAGAAATTTAATAATAATAATAATAAAGAAAAAGTTTTATTTTGAAATTTGTGACCTTTGCCTTGCTTTTGGTTTCCTGTCTATATTATTTTTTAAAAGATATAGACAGTTGGCCAAAGTACTGAAATTGTTAACATGCAATGATTAATGATTTAAAGTGAATCAAAATGAATGTAAAAATTAATAATCAAAGTCAGTGATCATCTCACATTATTGAGTCTTTTTGGTAAAGGCTATTTTAAGACATTTACCGGGAATTCTCAATAAGGAATTGATCAAACTTATCATCCCAAAGTGAAATTAAAAATAAAAGACAAATAAAAAATAGAATTAAATTAAAGCAACGAATTAAAAGTGATAATTTAATCAAATTAAATTAAGTAATATGTTAAATCCTTAAAAAATATGTTAATAATAATAATCCTAAAAAAAGATGTGTTTAAACAGTGACATTAAGTGATAATTTAAATATTGATTAATGGAATCAAAGAAAATCAACTGATTATTGACCCTTGTTTTATTTTGGCTTGCTGTTTACGTCATATCTTAAAAGATCTAGACAGTAAGCCAAACTAAGGGAATCGTCAAAATGCAATCACCAAAAGTGCTTAAAACTACAGAAAATAATTTAAAACAAACTATATGTGCCCAATGAATCAGTGGCCCGCACCTTGTCGGGACTTTCTGTTTAAGTTATATTTTTAAAAATTTAAACAGAAAGTAACGATCACAGAGAGGCATCACAAAATCTATCAACAAAAAGGGTTACCTTATCTTCAAAGAAAAGATTGCTCCGTGAATGATTTTTAACGAATTAAATGATTTAATCAAATTGAATAAGTGAATCAAAGTGTATCAATCTAAGTTACCATCTCACCTTGTTTTGTATTGTGTGCAAATTGTATTTAAACAAATTTACCTGCAAGCCAAAACAAGAGAGATGTTCCATGTTATCATCACAAAGTGAAATTATAAAAGAAGATGATTAATAATAACAAATATTATAATACAGGAATAATATTTTGGGATTTTTATAAAAGTTAATCTATGTCATGTGTCCATCTTATCTTGTTTTGTCTTGTGTGTAAATGATATTTTAACTTATTTACGTAGAGGGCAAAACCAGAGAGGGTCTATGTTCTCAACTCTTAGGAAGATTTAATATAAATAATCATTAAATAAAATACTAAACAATAGGCCATAAACTTCAAAGCAAAATGTTTATCGATAGTGATTAATATTTAAATCAGTGACCCAGGCTTAGATTTCCCTCTTTGGCTTGAATAACTTCAAATATGTTTAGGTCACTGACGGAAATCAAAGAGAGGGGTTGTACTACCATCAGAGTTATAAACATTTAAAAAATAATAATAATAATAAGCTTTGATTTAAATTAAAAAATGTAGAAAAAATGAATGAAAATGTCGATTTAATCGATTAATTTTTTATTCCACGGAATATATTTGTTTGATAGATATTTTCTTTGATATATCGATTAAAGGCACAAATATCGCTTTTAATATATCGATATTTTCTGTCATTGTTGCTTAGAATTAGCTAATTCCCTCTTGCGATCTGCCATAACTCAATCGAGCCTCGATTACTGATCGCTCGCTCGGTTCTCCATAAATTATACACTTGTTGTGCAGACATTGTATTACTTTTATTCAATTTTGTATATTTTATTTTTATATGGGCCAATTTGTCCGGGGCTAATCTGCCGTTCAGAGGCCGCGTGATTTATCGGCTATGGAGGCAGAAAACCCAGCGAGACAGAGAGAGAGAGAGCAACCATTATCAGCGACATAAAAAAAAAAAATAATAAAATTTTAGGAACACTCTGAATTCTCCGGGAGAAGGAATACTATACTATTCGGGAAAACAGGGCGTCGTCACCACATATATGGATAACCTTATCGGTTATCGGAGGGAACTCGACGAAACACCCTTCATGATCCATCCATCCCCCTGTCGAAGCACTTCAGATGGAAGACCAGAGCCTTATCGGTTGTGTAATGCCGTTGCTGGCCATCATCTCAACTACGTCAGGTCTTATCATCTAGCCAGGGGCTTAAAAAAAACTGACTGACTGACTGACTAACCGACTGACTATAGGCACTCTCCTTCCCTTCATTCATGTTGATCAGTTTGATTGATGGTTATTTTATTTTTCCCCCCCATTTCTTTTGTACGGGGCCTTGCACCACCTACATTCATAAATATCAGCTGTCATGACTCGAAATCCGAGCGGGCAATTTGTATTCGTGGAGTGGATAATGGTGATTTGGTATTAGAAATCAGCCGGCTAAAAAGGTCAACTAACCGATTTTTATTTACGCTTTCATGGCGCCCTACGAATGTCGGATCAGTGTGGCCTTTGATGCTTTTACAGAAATTACCTTAAAATTCTTAATTAAATGCTAAAAAACACTAAATACAGAATAATAATCTGGAATCTTTTATAAAGAAAGGTATATTGGTATTTCCTAATTTTCTAGTTCTTGATTAGATCTCCTATCAGCAGTTTCTGTTCATTTTCAGAAGCTAAAATGCTGTGATGGAATTAATATTTGATTGCCGATAAGAAAAAGGGCTCTATAAATCAATTCAGATATATATTATCGAGACACACTCAAGGGAAAATGAATAGGCAACAATTTAAAGCATGCCCAAGAGTTGCTTGTTATTATATTTAGATCTTGTAATATTTTTTTTATTTACAGAGTACTTATATATTCATTGTCTTATATTGATATTTTCCTTTCTGTTTATTGAGTGTTTCATTGAAATTGCTTAACATTCGTTCTACAAGCATAATGTCTACACGATTGATGATGGGCTTCTTAAAGTGTTTTATTTGTTTGTGATTATTGATTGGGCTTTTGGCGCTTATTGATTTTCGAATTCTCCAACTGGTATGCCCATATATACTATACACTTTTATGGGGCGCTTCATTCAAAGCCTTAATTACCTGATAATTGAATTATCAGAACTCATAATTGAAGGAGGAAAAGGCAAGGAAAAACACGCGCTCACTAAGTGGCCCAAAAGTATATATTGCTAAAATAGTTCAATCTGCTCTTTGGGGTTGGAGTCGTCGTCGTTGTCGTTGTCGATATTTGTCGAGGCAGTCAATAATTGGCTCTATAACTGAGTTTAAATTGCCACACTTTGATTTTGTGACAGCGACCAGGTTATTATCGCTGATTGACCCAAAGATATAAGCCAAGTTTTTAGCCCCTTTGAATATCGATCTTGAGCAAAATCGAAACGTATTTCAGAGAAGAGAGGACAGAGAGAGGACAATTGTTATTCCATTCTAACTTCAATATTGTATTTTATGGGCCTTGTGCAAAACTGATTTTAAAATCAGGTAAAATCTATATACACCTTTTATAAGACCATAATTTCAATAAGTGTTTGATTTTTATTTTTTAATTTTATTAGCTTTGTTTATTAACTTTAAATAAAATTAATATTTATCCTAAATATACTTGCTACCGGCGTTTAAAAACCACAAATTCTAGTGGCTATTCTCCCTCCATAGAATTCGGAAATATCAATCAAGGAAAACTAATGCCAGCCGCTGTTGTTTTCCTTTTCAATTTGCACATTTTCACAATTTCCACATTTTCACAATTTGATTTTTCGTTAGCAGCTGGAGGAGGCGAGGCGGAGGAGGGAGAGGTCATTGTAATGCGTAAATAATTCCGACTGTGTATCAATTGTGTTTATTATAACACACTGCAAATGGCATTATATGTATATTATATATGTAATCCATATAATATATATACAATATATACAGGCATGTTTGCTTGTCCAACAGTTTTTAGCGAAAAACAGCAAAAGGCAAACAAACATCAGCAGATAGCAACCAGGCTTAGAATTGGTTTTAAATTTGGTATTGGGATCACATCTTACCAACTTATTTGCACAATTAGCTGCTAACTTATTTTTAAACATTTCTCGTGCAATATTTTCGAATCTAATTTACAAGTGGTTTCGGGGGACGGACGCGTGAAATTAACGTGACACTCGAGTGTTCGCTAACGAAAGTCTGTTTATATTGTATATATACCATGTCGGTCGGTCGGTCGGTGCTGTTTCTATATACTCGTTTATGGGCAATATTACACTTGAAAAAATATTTCTATATATATTCTA